CAGCTGGGGTGCTGACCAGTCTGGAAACTGGAATTAACAAAGAATTAATGAGATAAGGAAGTGTTTGGGGGTGGGAGGGGGAGACAGTTGTTCTGACTGTTGGTAGAAAGAGGTCTCTGCTTAGCATGACACGGACACATGGTGTGGGCTGCTGAATGGACCCCTGGAGAGAGACCTCCTTGGAGAGGGGGTTGTGGTGTTTGCTTCTGCACCTTTGTGTGCTCTACTTCTCTTTTTAGAGGACAAAGCTGAGAAGGGGGAAGAGAAGGACCCAGCCGTGGTGACTCAGAGTGATGAAACGCCTGCTGAAGAAGACCTCCTGGGGCCCAACTGCTACTACGATAAATCCAAGTCATTCTTCGACAACATCTCCTCTGAACTCAAGACCAGGTGAGGCCTCCGTGGACTGGTAGAGAAGGTCGTCACTGCATGCATGTCTCAGAAGCACAGACTTGGCAGTCTCCACCTGAAGACCTAACCTACAGCCTTGAATTCAGGGCACATGCCCTAGGAGCTTGCATTTCTGTGTAATAGATGCTAGAGTCCCCAGTTGTCTCTCTCAGCCATCCAGGATGTGGTGCAGGAAATTCTCGCAATCATCCAGCCACAGGGGAACTCACTGAGGTCAGGCCCCTGGTCACTAGGTTTCCTGTCTACATTCAGTGCTCTTGCTGGGCTGCTTGCTGGTCTCAGTGGCCTGGCTAGTGTTCTGACTGTGATGTTCTTTCCCTTGGTGTTGGCCACCAGTGACCATGTTTCACGTGTGTGATCGTCTTTAGTGCCTTGGGTGAATGTTCTGGACTATGTGGGCAATCTGTAGAGTAGGCATGGTGTGGAAACCCAGATCCATGTGTCCTACAGGTTGAGCGCCAGGAATGCTCCTAGGCATTCAAGAGTGGCAGCAGGCAAAATTGAGTGGCCTTGGCACATGCTCACACTCCACTGGGGGAGCATGCAAGTGGAGATGCACAAAACATGAACAGAGGACACGTAGGAGCCCAGCAGTGGAGGGTGGGCAGGGCTGGGTCGGAGGGTAGCCACAGGGGTGAGTGAAGGTCTATGTGTCTCTGTGGGGCTGGGTTGGAGGGTGTTGTAGGAGTTCAAGTAGGGTGTTATAGGTCACAGTAATGATGTTGGCTTTGTTATGATCCTGTGGGCAACCTTCCAGGAGTGACATGCGACAATATAGCATGTTGATGAGCGTGGCCCAGAGTGGGCCACTATGAGGCTGGGTGGACAAGGTGGCTGGCTCAGCAGGAGTGCAGGTTCTTGGAATACTGGGCTGTATGTGGTGGGAAGGCTGGACACAGTGTGTTTTGAGGATGGCACTTACAGGGTGTGGGGAGTCCAGAATGAGTCCCACATGTCTTGGCCTGGGTACGCGAAGAACAGTGTCATTTTCAACCAAGAAGCCTGTGGATGCAGCAGGCTTCTAGACTGAAGGGCAGGAACTGGCTGGCTGTCTGCCAACATTTTGGCTGCACTGGGCACACGGTTGTACATGGGAGTTGTGCCCCCAAATGTTTGGGCAGCATGGTGTGTGAGAGCTGTGATGCCATCTGCTATCACCGCCAGAAGCACATGTACCATTCTTGCTCCATCCAGCCCTGCTCCTCTCCACCCATATCCTTCTAGTAGAAACCTGAGTCTGGAGGAGTCTGTATCCTGTTCTGGTCTGAGGTCTGCATGGGGCCTGGGCGCCCAAGCTTCTCTCCCTGCCCAGCAATCAGTGGAGAGAAGGCTTCCTTTGTCACCCACTGGTGGCAACCTGCTTAGCCTTGTTGATGAAAGGTAGGTCTTGAGCAGTCCAGTGCTCAGGAAGATGGCTGCAGTGGTCTTCATCTCTAGGCCTAACCTGTTCCCTCCACCTCTGTAATGGCTCCAACAACGGTTTGTGGTCCTTCCCTGGGCTGTTACGAGGATGGAGCTTGAGTTGTTAACTGCTGTCATCAGGATTCCACACACTTTATCTCTGGTCCAGTTCCAGGCGTACAACATGGGCTGAAGAGAGGAAGCTCAACACGGAGACCTTTGGCGTGTCAGGGAGGTTCCTCCGCGGTCGTAGTTCCCGTGGTGGGTTCCGTGGAGGAAGGGGCAACGGGACAACCCGGCGCAACCCGACTTCCCACAGAGCTGGGACTGGCAGGGTGTGAAGATGCAGCCTGAGTGAGTGTGGGAACCTTCTGGATCCTTGGGTGGGAGGCACTGGGACGGGTGTACCTAGCCAGAGCAGAGGTGCTAGAGGGTAGGTGGGCTTTCTCTCTTCACACAAGAAGAGCATCCTGAAGGTGTCAGGCCCAACTGACGGCCTCAGCCCTCAGAGTCACCCAGGGTCTCCTAGAAACAGCGAGAGTCAGGTAGGACCCAGGTTGCTGCCCACTTCATCCAGCTGAGATCATGGGTGTGGGAGGGCAAGGACCATGGTGGAGTCTAGTGAGGGCTCTGTGCTGGCTGCTGGGCTCCGGCATGATGCCCTAGTCCAGCCTAGCCCTGCATGGAGTCAGAGCCTGTTAGCGAGGCCCCAGGGATTGTGTGCACTCCTGGGTCGGGGTAGTGTCCCTGTATGGTGACTGGTACTGACCCACCCCAACCAGGTGGCATTTGGAGGAACCAGGGCTTCCTGCCACTCACTGTCTCCCGTTCCTCAGTGTGCTACTTGGAGGGGGCCCTGATAGGAGAGTGGGCGGTCCAAGGGAGGGAAGAGGGGTTGAGTGGCCCTTGTTACTGGTCAGGCAGCAGCCCCTGCTGATACTGAGCAGCCATGTAACAGTTGGTGTGGATGTGCTCATTTTCTGACCTCTTTTGCAGGCTCCTGCTGAAAAGCACAGAAGTGACGCTGTGTACATAAGGACACCACAGAAATGCTCTGCACTTAACAGGGAAGGAGTGGGTCCCATTTACTGAGTTGGAAAATTCCCATACTGCTACTTATGTTTTGGACTTAACTGAACTTAGACGTGGTCTGAGTTAAAACCACTTGTTTTTTGGGAAGTATTCATGGGTAACCTCTTTGAGGTATCTTGACCTACGTTTCCTTTTTGGTTGCGCATAGCCTAATTCTAAGGTTTTGGCATTTTCTATAGCGAAGGTTTGATCCTCACTTTGTGACTTTTCTTTTTTTATGACAGCTTTGACTTTTAAAGTGGAACCAAATCTCATTTGGCACATGTGGCCAAGTGCATTTCTGTAACCCATCTAGCCCCTGGTGCTGCTGGCCTGGCACCCCACCCCCCCACCGTCATTGGTAGGGTCTCAGGAGCCTGGCAGGGCCAGCACAGGGTGGGCCGGACATATGTGTGGGTGGGGCAAAGGCAGGGAAAGGGATATCCCATGAATCATGTTGTGTAACAAACCGGAGTGATGTTGTTAGGGTTGGGGGCTGGCAGAGGGTGGTGGACTTGGTGGTACTGGGAAGGGACCCTGAACGTTACCTATGCAGAGCCTGGCTTCCACAGGCACTGAGGCTAAGGGTTGGAACCCTGAACCACCCCATACAATGTTCCCCTGGCTCTCCTGTCCTGTCCTTACCAGCCTCTGACCCAGGTCAGTGTTGGACTCTTGTCCTCATCCACATGGAAATGAGCCAGTCTTTTTTTGCAAGGTCAGTTGACCTTTTTTCCTCTGGATTGTAAATAGTTCTTGTGTGTGTGTTTTAAAGGTGGGTGGAGGGAGGGTGGGGAATATAAATTTGTTGCATGAGTAAGATGGGTCAGACCTCCAGTGTAAGCATGCATCCTTCTGATTGACAGGGCATTTTGTTGAAAATAAGCACCTTGGTAACTAAACCCCTTTAAATAGCTATGAAGGCTTTAGTTCTGTATTAAGTCATTGTAAATGCTTGGGTTTATTTTTGTAGGACTTCATGGCTGAGAAGTAGAACATAGCATTGGCACTGCTTTGTTGGGGAAATGTAAATTGTAATTATAAATAAATATGCAAACCCTTAAAACTTTTTTTCTGTGCTGCCTAACAACGTCTGCAGCATATCCAGGGCCCACCCAGAGGCAGGTGCTATTCAGCTCTAGAGTACACTTGGGGTGGTAGGATTTGGGGGAATTGGTTCCATATAGAGCCTGAGGAAGGAGAGACCCTACTGAAGTGCAGTGAGATAGGCCTGGATCCTCTTGTTGGCGGCCTTTCTGGGATGAGTGGCCCTGCTGTCTAGAATCTGCATACACACTAGTTTAGGCTAAAAGCAGTCTATTTACTTCAGTATGAGTTTCCAGGTGACTTTAAAAGCAGTGCTCAGAGGACCAGAAGGGACAGCTGAATTTGACTTTCCCTTATGGTACCTGCCTATCCTCCACTTAGGCTCTAGAGCAGGAACTGGCAGCAGGCAGCCTTCTGTTTTGGTGGTGGCAGTGGAGGGAAGTAACCCAATGACCAGTTCTTTTCAGTGTGTATGGTAGATGCCAGGGGCCACAGCCCTCATTCTGACCTGTGCAGCTCAGCAGCTGGACTGTGCTGCTGGTGGATGTAAAGGCTGCTTACCACCTGAAGTAGCCTTGCTGTTAATCCAGTTGACCAGTCATTTTGACAATTACACATTTTTATGCTGAGCTTAAAAGTGACCTCCTGAGTCTGTGTTTTAGAGGATAGCATATACTGCAAGCCAGAGAGGGCAGCTGGGGGCTGAGGGAGGCAGCAGCACGCGCCTGGAGCAGCCCAGGACCCAAAGGCCAAGAGGGGTTCTTTCTGGCTAAAATGTGAGAGAGGGGAACAGCTAGGTAGAAAACAGGAGACAAACAAATCCATTAAAAGCTGAAAGAAAAAACTAATTTTGAATATAGCAACTCATTGCGTGGAAGGAAATGGAAAATTGTATTGAACCCCCAGAGGCGAACCCTGGCTTGTTAGGAGCCTGGCAACAAGGGACAGAAAAGAAAAAGAAAGTGCATAAAAAGCAAGTACACAGATTCCCAAAACAAGGGGGAAAGACCCCATCTTCTTAAAGAGCTAGTATGATCACACCTAAAAAGATCCATGCTCTCTCCACAAGCAAAGGCTAAAAAATACGGAAGTTTATTGGGTACTCTTGACATCCCAGACAGGTGGATGAATGGAAACGCCCACAGAGACTCATCAGTGACCAAGTTTAAAAGCTGTTCTAAGCAAGAGAGATTTCTTCATCACGATGCTTTCTTTTGTTTCTTCTTTTCATTTTCTTCTTTTTCTTTTTCAATTTCAGCAACGTATTTCTCAATTTCTTCAGGATTGAGAATCTACAACATAGAATTTTTTAAAACTTCAGAAACATGTTTAACCCCCAGGTTGCACAAGGTACAAAACACTAGTTCGTTCGGGCAGTGCAGCCTGGTTTGTGCTGCAGCCATTCCACAGCCCCTTTGGAGAAGGGCTTCAAGGAACTAGGGTGACATTTGCCTGAGGTGTTAAAAACAAAGTTGCACTTGGCAGCCTCGGTGCACCAAGAGAACACATGAACACCATTGGGAACCATGGAAGCAAGTGGAAAAGTGTCCAGACTGTGGAGCCTTGGACATTGGAGCAGCTGAAGCCACAGCATGATGGCCTCAGGAGGAAGTGACCCTCCAGAAGGAAACACCACGGGGTCTTTCTATGATGTTACACAGGAGAGGGTCTGAACCGTGGCTCTCCAGATTCCAACTCAGACCACATGGTTGAGAAAACATCAAATCAAGATGACAACTTGAGGATTACCTTAAGGGGCTGATCTCTCCTCATGACAGCAAGTTCAATGTTTTTGCCACCTGATTGGACCACCTTGAAGGGAAAGACAGGAATGTTAAGACACCTCTGTCCTCAAGAACACAGTGGCAATCCTGGCAGCCCTCCTTGGACAGGCAGCAGTGGCTACTGGAAAGCACAATGCCTGACTCCGGGCCTGGCTTTGCCTGTTTGTACTTCAAAGTCTTGATGGAGCCTGTGAGTTCTTGATAGATCCCTAGCCCCTAGCTCTGGATCTCTTAATTTCCCAACTTAGCAACCCAAGCCTCTGGGAGGCCAAGTGACATCTGTAGTACAGAGTCCACAGTCCGATGACTGGACTTCTGTCTTCCTGCTTCTCATGCTGTGTTCCTGGGTGAGCCATGACTACCCCTGCTATATGAAGAAGCAGATGATGGCACTTTCTTTCCCAGGGCTCTGTGGTGCATGGCAGCTGGACAACTCCCAACCATCCAGCACTGCCATGGGCTTTTGTCACACATGCTCCTTCTCCATCTTGCCCAGACACACTTACTTCCAGGAGGGCCTTGATCACCAGCTTGATGGTCAGATCATCTGTCTCGATGGCCTCATCGGTATAGTTCTTCTCCAGGAACTCACGCACTGACTTGGCACCCCGGCCTATGGCATTGGCCTGAAACAGACAAGTGTGGGCTCACAAGGCACAACCCTGTCTTCTGCTCCAGCTGTGCTATTTGCTCTGTAGCAGCGCATGAGGTGACAGCCCTAGACTTGGGGCCTCCCTAATAGCTGTGTGTGCACATGCACACACACAGGATTTAGAATTGGTGCTAATTTTTAAAAAAATATTTAAGTTATAGTTCGACACAATACCGTTATTATTTTTATGTGCGACTGAGGATCGAACCCAGCCCCCAACACGTGATAGGTGAGCGCTCTATTGCTGCGCCACAACCCCGGATTGGTGCTAATTCTTATTACAATAAGGGATTATACTTTTAATTATTAAGAGAAACTGGTGGGCTGGGGATGTGGCTCAAGTGGTAGTGCGCTCGCCTGGCATGTGTGCGGCCCGGGTTCGATCCTCAGCACCACATACAAACAAAGATGTTGTGTCCGCCAAGAACTAAAAAATAAATATTAAAAAAAAAATGGTAATGTTATGAATGGGATTATATTCCATTTTATTATTGAGATACTGGGAAGTTTAAATTTATGCCACACGTCCTTGAATCTTGGTGTTCCTTTGCTATTGAGTGAACTTTTTACTTTCATTCACATCAGTAACATTTCATGAAACAGATTGTTCACTTAGGACTAAGGTAACTTACACTGCTGCTTGTTCACTGGCAAGAGGCCCAGTACCTCCCCAAGGACTTTAATCCCTCCCTTTACTTTGTCCTGGACTCACCTTCCAGGCATGGTATGTGCCCGAGGGGTCAGTCTGATAGAGTCTGGGGGTGCCATCAAAGTCGAAACCCACAATGAGGGCAGAGATGCCGAACGGCCTGCGCCCATTGCTCTGTGTATAACGCTGGCAGGGAAAGAAGTCAGTGCTGTCAATCATGAGAAAATTCATGTGACATCCAAAACAACTGTGCTTAGTGTAAGGATTAAATGTTCATCATTAAGCCCACCTCCAGGTTATTTGCCATTCAACTAATAAACGAAATTAGCTAATAGCTTTCAACATCTTTCTGCATTTTCATTCTTAGACTCACCCAGGACTGGAACTACATTATGCAATAAAACTGAGGCTGCTGGAAATTATCTCTTTGAGGGGCAGACTTGCACTCTTGCCACATGCTAGTTTTCAGATGAATGGCATCTGAGAACCAGAGTTGGTGAGCTTCCAGCCCCCTTCCAACTGCTTGGTAACTGGTGGTTCAAAAGGGCAAGATGAACACGATTATTTCTCTCCAGAAACATGAATCCAGACTGCCTCCAGCAGAAAGGGACAACAGTGCCGCCCAATGGGAGAGGCCTTAAGTCTCTCACACACACACACACACACACAGACCAGGAACAGAAGGAGACGTCCGCGTGAGGTAACACCACACAGGACACTCCAGGACAGTGCCTGCTGCATCACAAGGAGGGCAGCATTCACCTGCTTCAGGCTGGCAATGTAGCGGGTGATGTACTCCACCGTGACAGGGTCCTCCACAGTCAGCCGGTGGCTCTGGCACTCCACTCGGGCCCTATTGATGACTATCCGTGCATCGGCAGTGAGGCCTGCAATGGAGGCAGAGGAGCTTCTGCTGCAGTTGCCACTCACTGTTCCACCCAGGTAAGAATTACATAAGCAGACGAATTCCAAAAGCTGCCCTCTGAAACCCAGCACAGCATTTCTGAGTGATGGACAGTGGAACTAATCAGCCCTCAGAAACTTCTGAGAAAGTGGAACACATGAGAAATTGTGTGGGCTGGCCACGGTGGCGCACACCTACGATCCCAGCAGCTTGGGAAGCTGTGGCAGGAAGATCTCAAGTTCAAAGTCAGCTCAGCAACTTAGAGAGATCTTATCTCAAAAAATATAAAACAGGCTGAGAATGTTACCAGTGGTTAAGCACTCCTGGATTTGATCCCTGGAATACCCTTCCACCAAAAAAAAAAAAAAAAAAAAAAAAAGTAGAGTGCATCAGATCCTATTTAAACATACTAGGGCTGGGGATGTAGCTCGGTGAGAGCACTTGTCTAGCATGCTCAAAGCCCAGGGCTCACGCCTCAGTACTGAAAAACAAAAAACACATCTTCCTAGATTGGATCTTCTAAGGGAGGGCAGGATCAAGGCCATGGCAATGCACTGCTGGTGTTCCACAAATGCCACCCATTAGTTGGCTGGTGATGGCAAAGCACTGTCCTCCGTGCCACAGGTACAGGGTGATTACACCCTGATAACTGACCAAGGAAGGTAACTGGAGGTGAAGCAGCACAGCAGCCCTACCTGGGCAGCAAGACACATTTGGCCATTTGTGCCCACCCCAGCAGAGGGTCCTAAGAAACCTGGTTTACATGTCTGCCAACTGCCCCTCTCCCCAACTAGTCCCCAAAGCTCTGCTGCACACTGTGACTCCAGAGAAGGCCCTGGCAGGGCTCATACCTGCAAAGGCCATGCAGACATTGTCGTCCAAAGCACAGATCTTGCGCACTGTTCTTTCATCTTGTAGTTTGGCCACTGATTTCTTTTCCACACCAAGAACAACAATGTCCCTTCCTCGAACACCAACCTTTAATAAAAATCCACAAGCCACATGAGAATCCTACTGGGCACAGAACATGAGAGCTCATATTAATGTGGGCCCTGGAAAGACTGGAGGCAAGAACCCCACAGGAAGGTGTGTGTCCACACCTCTTTCTCTCCTTGTCTGTCACAGGGCACCTAGCCCTGCAAACTAGGAGTTAATGACCCACTCCTGGTGGAGCTAGTGCAGGTTCCAGGATCCAGGTGTGCAACCTGGGTCTTTTAGATACTGATGTGGTGTTCTAGGCTAGCCAGTAATATGTGAATGCTTCATTTCAGTCCAAGGATTAGTCCTTCCAAACCTCAAAGCCAGGGACAAACTCCTGGTTTGCAACAACTACCTACTGAAAAGTCAACATCACCCTGTTTTGGGCAGGCACAGCAGAGAGGAGGATGTGGATTACAAAGGGGAAATCACCTGAAGTTGACCCTTGAATCTAGACAAGTGCAGGAACATTGGGACCAACAAAGCCTGCCTGCTATAGAGGGCCCTGCAGCAGGTGGGATTGTATAGTGCTGTGGCCAGTGGAGTAGCATCCTTGGCCTCGGCTTCCAGGTGCTAGGGGCACCTCAGCAAGGTCTTGGCCAGTCCATCTGGCCCCCAGCCTGGAGTGTGTTTCAGTTTGCCCTGTGATTCCTCAAATGTCCTTTAGCGTCAAGCAGCGAACAAGAGAAGCTTGCAAGCTGCAGCTGGCCACGCAGAGCAGGCACTGGGAGTCCCTGGTGGGCATTAGCCTATTCCTCTGCCACAGCCCTTTGGACTGTCAGGTCACCAGACATACCTGAAGCTTTAATTTCAAAATGGTTAAAGACTGGAGAGATGGAAACACTTAAAATTCAGAACCGTGTGTCCGCTCAACCTCTAAAAGACCAGGTAACAAGAAAAATCGTCCTACGGTTTGCCAGTAACATTGGCAGGTATCCCAAAGAGTCATAATTTGACGTTTCCTATAGCGACGAACAGTTGAGTCCCTGAACAAGAACACTGGCGAGGCGAGAGCGCCACGCTGGGACCAGAACTCGGCGTGACAGAGTGCGCCTTCCGCGGCGCAGCTGGACCCGGAAGCGGCCTGGTACCAGCGCAGGCCGCCGAGCCTCCTTTTGTTCTGGACGCCCACCTGGGTCTCTCCGGGGGGGTCCCCGCCACAGCTGGCTGCGGGAACGCCGCCAGCCCTCCTGCAGCCTGCGCACCTGGGGCCTCAGCTCCCGGCGCCTCAAGATGGCCCCAGCCCGGCGCGCGGCCCGGCAGCCCGCGTTGCGGCGCCCGGCGGAGGCCACCGCCGAGGCTACAGAACGGCCGAAAGCGCGGCCGCCGCCCAAGCGTCGCCAGCTCTCCACGGCATGGGCGCGTGCCCGCGGCTCGGCTCCGCTCCTGGTAGCCAGCCTCGCCGCCCGTGCCCTGTCTGCAGGCCCGCCGCCCCAGACGCGCTGCCGCCCGCCTCCAAGGAGGCGCTCGGCCCGCCGCGCCCCGGCCCCGTGCTCACCGCAGTCGAGCCCTTCTTGACGGCCTCCTGCGCGTATTCCACTTGGAAGAGGTGGCCGTCGGGCGAGAAGACGGTGATGGCGCGGTCGTAGCTCATGCCGGCGGGGCGCGGAGCTCTCGCCGCCGCTCAAAAGCGCACACTCACGGACGCCCGCCGCAGCCCCGCCCGCCACGCTGCCGGCGTCGCCGCGTCGCCGCGCCAGGCGGACGTGCGAGGCGGGCGGGGCGCGGCGGGCGGAACCACCGGCGCGGGGCGCGGGGGGCGGCGCGGCGGCAGCGAGCGGGCGCGGGGCGCGGGGCGGGCTCCGGGGGGCCTTGCGCGGAGCGCGGCCTGCGGCGGCGGCGGCGCTCGGAGCGGTAGCGCGGCGGGCTCCGGCGGTCGGCGGCAGCGGCGGGGCGGGCGAGCCCACGGCGCGGCGCCCCCCGCCCCGCCCGCGCTGCGGAGAATGGGCACCTCGGGCTGCCGGGCGCCGCAGGAGGATAGACCCCGGTGATCACCGGCTCTGCCCGCGCCACCACCATGTCCGTGGCCTTCGCGTCCGCGCGGCCGAGAGGCAAAGGAGAGGTCACGCAGCAAACCATTCAAAAGGTGGGCGGCGCAGGTCTGCGGGGTGTGGGCGGCGGGCGCGGGGCTGGGCGTGGGGCGCGAACAAAGCCGGGGCGCAGCCGGGTGGCCGTGAGACCCGACGGCGGCCCGGCGCCCCGCTGTCCGCAGTGGCGCGCCTGGGAGCTGAGGGCCGACGGGGGCGCTCCCCGGAGAGCCCGCGCTGACTTTGCGGGGACGCGCGTTCCCTTGGCCGGGGCGCCGGGCGGCAGGGCCGGATGGCCGCCGGGGTGCTGGCCCCGAGCGCGCTGCCGAGTCCGCAGAGCGCGCCTCCGGAGCTGTCTCGGCCGACTGGGGCTCCACGCGCTCTGCTCGAAGCCCGGCCGCCGCTCCGCCCATAGCGCGCAACTTGGCTAGTGGAGAAGGGGCGCGCGGCGACGGCGAGGCAGCCGCTTTTGTAAGGTGTAGAGCGCCAGGCACAAAGGGACGGATCGGAGGTGTGAGTGCAGGTCCCGCGGCCCGCAGCCCTGAGCAGAGCGCGCAGCAGACTTGCGGGCCGGCGCGTCCCCGCCCTCTTTCCCGGTCAGTCCGCTTTCAGCGTCCTCGCCCAACCGAAACGACAGATTTGTCCTACCGCCTTCTCGCCTGTTGGGGCCAAAGCTTTCTAGAGAAAGCCTTCTTACGGGCGGGGGCCACTTCCCTAAAAGCCGTTAGAAGATGTGGAGAAGAAAACGAGTGTTCAGGCATTCCTGTCTGAGCTTGTCTTCTGTAGCTGTGTCGGTTCCTCTTTTGGACTCTGGTTCCATCTACAGCAGGATTCCTGGGTTCCTGTAAGCCTCTTCGGCCCCGGTGCGCTCGCCTTGCTGCCCTGCTCTCTTGGCGGAAGTGCCCTTGCTGTTGCTGTCTTTAGAAATGTAGTGGTTAACAAGTGGGGAGCCTGGCCCGCTCCAAGCAGAGGAGAAAACGTTTGCCAAGAGCCGAAATGCAGGCTTGCAAGCATGGCTTTTTTATTAGCAAACACTGCTGTAGCGCCATTGCATTCTAGGCACTGTTGGAAGATCTTTACATATCTTAATTAATTTAATTCTTCACGGAAGTCATTATCGTCCCCATTTTATAGTGGAGCAAATTGAGACATACGAAGACTCAGGGGCTGCAGGGGGCTGCTGTTGCTGTGGCATCTGGCCAGGACTTTTGCCTGGCGGGAGGGTGGACCCCAGACTTGGAAGCACACATCAGCATCCCACAGGTCTCCTGGAGCCATTAACAGTCTGTTTCTGGCTTCAATATTTATTCAGAAATTTGTACTTCACACTCCAGTCCCCATTTAGGCATCTCAGATTCTTCAGGCAACAGATTTTCCCAGCCAGGAAGTGGTGGAAATCAGAACAGCCCTGCCCCAGTGTACCTGTGCCCAGGTGTGGGATATAAGGGACACAGGTGAGAGATGACAATCTGGGTAGGGATGTGTGCCTAGGTTTGGATGATGATGGGAGAGGGCTTGGGAGCTGGGTCAGCAGTTGGTCTTCTGTGCTGTCCTCGGACCTGGAACTGCTATCACAGAGAACACAGGTGATCCAGTTGAAAAGGTATGTCTTCCTCTGTGAAGAGAGCTGCCCCCACACTGTGAGTGGCCTGGGCACTTGAGCCTGCCATTAACATGGTGAGGTGTGCTGGGCATAGTGGTGCACACCTATAATCCCAGCAGCTCAGGAGGCTGAAGCAGGAGGTTTGCCAGTTCAAAGCCAGTCTCAGCAACTTAGCAAGCCCCTAAGCAACTCAGCGAGACCCTGTCTCTAAATAATTAAAAAAAAAAAAATTTTTAAATGGGGACTCTGGGTATGTAGCTCAGTGGCTAAGTGCCCCTGGGTTCAAGCCCTGGTTTCAAAAGAAAAGAAAAAAAAAAATGGCAAAGTAGTGACTTCTAGGAGTGACAGCACTTCCTTCACTTTGATTAGACACCTGTCCTCTCCTCCACCCACCACTGAAGGGGAGCCCAGGAGCCTGTCTTTCCATCTCCAGGATGGGGTGCTCTGTCTGGGGTCCACCATGGGGAGGGATCCAGGAGCCACTGGGGAACTGGCCTTTTGGCCTCTTTGTGTCTCCTCTTTGCACAGCCTTTGAACCTGAGTAGTGCACCGTGCACGTGGGGTGGGGACAGTCACAGCCCAGGCCTCATCCCCTTGACCCAGTGCAGCGGGGCTGTGAGCCCTCTGGCTGGGTACTCCAAGGTGTCTGCTGGCCCACTGCCAGGGCCTCGGGAGCTCCTCCGCCCAGTGAGAGGGTGCCTTTGGAGACAGACAGCGCCGCCCACCTCCCTGTGCTTATTTCCTTTCTAAGGCTGGTGGGTGTCCTGGTTGTGGGGAGCTGGGGCAGAAGGAGAGTGCAGCTTCTGGTCATGGCTGGTGAGGCTCACTCCCTGGTGGTCCCCTAGGAGCCCTCCTCAGGACTCTGGCCCTCTGCCCTGAGCCTGTTTCTAGGCCAGTGGGTCAGTGGCAGGCCACTTGCCTCTGAGCGCTTGGTGTCACAGGGAAGCTTCATTGGAACCCCTAATCAGCAGGCTGCAGAAATGCCTACTGCCCCTGGCAGTGCAGGAATAAAGGGTATCTACCCTTTAGTGACTTAGAGGCATGAATGTCCTATAAACCCTGTGCAGCTGGAAAGAGATAGAGCCGGGCTTTGGTGCCTGATCTGTGACGTGAAGGGAAGAGAAGGCAGAGGGTTAGAAAGCCTGCTGTCCCACAGGTGGAAGGAAGGCTTCTGCAAAGCAGGCCCGGATATGGACACAGGTGGAACTGAGGAGGGTGGGCAGGCCAGCGTCCTGGGTTCACTTTCCTGTTGCACTGAGACCGTCCACACATGGGCTTTCTAGGCCTGGGTTTCCTCATTTTGAAAATGAATCCAAAGTGACCTAGTGAGCTGTGTTTGTGGCTAAAGTGTCATCGTTGACTGCCTTCACCCTTTTCACCGAGCCCTGGATGCGTAGAGGAGGGGCCAGAATGCAGCAGTGGCACTTGGCAAGGGAGCTGAGGACTCCGTTCCTTGTGATAGGCCACAGGCAGGAGGCACTGCTGTGGACCCTGGGTGTGTAAGTGTGAGCTGTTTGGAACTCTCACGCCTAATTCCCGTCTCTGCTGTGGGTAAATGTTGACGGTGTCGGGTTCCTTCAGCGGTCTGCGGTGCTCTTACAGAAGTCCCCCTGGCTGGGTCTCCTCCTCAGGGTTCCATGATCCTGCCTTGGAAATTCTTGTCCGTTAGGTCATGCTCCTCCGTCACCCCTCTGGAGTCCCTCAGTTAGATCGGTGACTCTGTGGAACCCTCTGTCAGGGCCAGGTCATCAGCCCTCCAAAAGGCACCTCAGGCTGGGTCATCACGCCCACAGGGTTGTCCTCTGGGGGTTCACTGCCCTCCTGGAGCCTCCTCGAGGGCATCACCCTCCTGGGTCTCCTCTGCAATGCCGTCGCCCTGCCAGAAGTCTCCCCCTCAGGTCTCTACCCCTCTGCAGTCTCCAGTTGGGTTGTCCCTCTCAGGAGCCCCACCATCCCTGTCATCGCATTGCTTTTCCATTAGTCTTGTTTCTTTCCTAGGGGTCCTTCAACTCATAAGACACCTGGACTTTTTGTTTGTCTGTTTTAGTCGTAGTTGGACACAATACCTTGATTTATTTCTATGTGCTGCTGAGGATCGGACCCAGGGCCTCACACACGCGAGGCGGGCGCTCTACCACTGAGCCCCAGCCCAGCCCCTTGAATGGTTTTTTATTCCCAGGAGTTCTTTGACCCTTGGTGCTGTTTTAAACAGGTTTCCATTCCCTCTCCTGGTGATGACTGCTCTTTATCCATCGTTTGCCGGACATTGTGGTCCTGGTCTCCCAAGCATTAGCCATGGCTTCCAACTCCTGCAGGCTGCTGCCTCTCAGCCTCCAAATAGGCCTCATTCCTTCTGGGGGAGCAGGTGTGGTGGGGCTCAACTGCACTCCAGCCAGGCGTGTGCTGGGGGCTCTGCTGGGAAGTGCTCTCTGCTCTCAGGAGTCCAGCATCTTTCCTCCCAGGCTGGACACATCTCCTGCCAAGAGGGCCCCAGTGCTCTGGGGGTCAGGGGCGAGTAGGTCCTGAGCCTCCTTGGCCTTTGCCCACGTGGCTCTGTGCAGCGGGTCAGACCCCACTTGGATCAGCACCCTGCTCCAGCTGCTCTCTGTGCCCTGTTCTGGCTTCTGCGTTTCTTCTTCTCTTGTCCCTTACTCTGCGGGCAGATCTTCAAGAGTCTGGCCCTCAGCCTGCGTCCCGCCCCTTTCCTACAAGGATTTCTAACTTAAGGGAACTGTAGCTCTGTGTGCTGCTTCTAAACCATCCCGAGAGCCGCCCAGTATCTCCTTGTGTGAGAGCGAGCTGTGAAGCATCTCCATGGCTGGGCAGTGTCCCACCCTGTGGTTGTACCATAATCCTCACAGCGACCACCTAGCATTTCTCCACTTGAGCTACTGTGGGTGGCCCAGGTGGCTTCGCAGCATCCATTAGTGTCCTTGGAGAGAATCCTGCCTGGGAGTGAGTAACCAGGAGTTGGATGCTGGGATCAAAACAAGAAATCCCAGTGCTTCTTTCTTTAATCAGTCTGGAGAAGGACCCGGAGTGCCCTCACCTGCACACAGGCGGGCTCTGGCTGGCAGCGCCCCCTAGTGGTTCCCTGTTTCAGGACGGCTCCTCCACTGAGCTGGGCTACGCATCTTGTCACAGTGGGGCGGAACGCTACAGGAGGTAGAGGGGCAGAGGTGGGGCAGGCCTGTGGTTCCAGGGGTGTAGGAGGCCAGGCAGGAGGGTCACAAGTTCAAGGCAGCCTGGGCAACTTAGACCCTAAGCAACTTAGCAAGAGACTGGGGATGTAGTTCAGGGGCAGAGGCCCTGGGTTCAATTCCTGATACCAAAAAAAAAAAAAAAATCGTGGAGAGGAGGGCGTTGAAACTTACAGAACTGTAGGCTGTGCTCGCCCTCCAGGCGGCATTGCCAGTGCTCCGGGAGCTAGACCCCAAGGACAGACTTCAGGGACCCGCATTGGAGGGCGGAGGAAAAGGTAGGCAGCCCTGAGGGACAGTGGGCAACTGGGCCCCTCTTCCCCTTGCTGTTAGGGCTCCACCTGCTCTAGGGGCTGCAGAGTCGGCCGTTGACGACGACGGGGGCTGAGGTGGCCGTGTGTTTGGTGGAGACAGAAAACATCAGGCTCAGGGTTTGAGGCAGGGTCTTGCCAAAGTGATGAAGCTGGCCTTGAACTCACAATCCTCCCACCTCCGTCTCCTGAGTCACTAGGATCGCAGATATGGGCCACTTCTTGAGAGTGGAGAGGAGGAGAGGCCTCTGGGGATGAGGAGGCACAGGTGCCATGTGCTCTGTCCCGTGGAGGGCATGGTCCCTCCAGGTAGGGAATGGCTCATGTGGCAGTGTGCCGTGGTTCCCACAGCTCCCTTCCTCTTTGTCCCACCCGCCATGGCCACCCCCTGGGCCTCCCTAGCCATCCTTGTGCTGCCCCCAAGTAGCCACCTGGGAATAGGGGCTCTCATGTGACCTCCATGCCCACAAACCGGTGTGGTTCCCCGCTGCCCACAGACACCTTCATACCCAGCCTCCTGTCCCCACTACCTCGTCCTCTCTGCTGGATAGGCACACACCAGGACAGTGAGGCAGCCCAGTGCTGGAAGGTCCCTGGGTGAGGTCCTGGGACTTGCGGGTGTAGGAAGCCTTGGAAGGGGTCTGTGTAGCCGTGAGCCCAACCCAGTGCTTCTCAGAGGCCTCTGGGCACACCACCTGGGCAGGGACAGGCTCGAGAACCTGTTTCTGACCAGTCCCTGCAATACTGATGTTGCTGTGTGGAGCGTGCCTGGGGAGCAGGCCTGGCCTTCCTGACCTTGGCCCTGTGCACCCTCGCTGAGAGCCCTGCCCAGCTCTGGGGTGCCCACGCCTGCCTTTCAGTGGCCTTGGTCTCAGCCTGGGTTTCAGGTCCTGAGTCGGTGCACGTCACACACCTACGCTGTGCGAGGCCGACGGGGTTCCCTGCGTGGGCAGGCCCGTCTGTCCCACCACAGCTCATTTGGCACTCGGGTGGTGGAGACCCGAGGGGTGGGGCTAAGGGTCAGTGGCCACAGGTGCGTGTCCTATTCAGCTCCTTCATCCTGCCCGAGCCTCCTGCCTCAGGCCGTGTGCCTGCAGTTCCTCCTGTCCCCAGGGCAGGACCCTGTGTGCTACCTCAGGCAGGGGTCAGGGCCTGGGGCTGGTGGTGTGAGCCTTCCAGTCACATGGGTGGTACGCCTGTTGGGGTCTGCTGTGCTTTGAGCACCTGTCACGCCCTGCAGGTGGGGCTCCGAGGCACCCCCGGGGTCCTGCACCCTGTGGTGAACTAGCTAGGCTTGCTGGGCGGATGCCCTGTGGTTGCTCCGAGGAAGCCTTGGTGCCCAGGCCCCGTTCACACCCACGTCTGCTGCAGATGCTGGACGAGAACCACCACCTGATCCAGTGCATCCTGGACTACCAGAGCAAGGGCAAGACGGCGGAGTGCACCCAGTGAGTGGGCGGGGGGGCGGGGGGCGTCAGGGAGCCCGGGCCTACATAGCTGTGGGGGCCTACATAGCTGTGGGGGCCTACATAGCTGTGGGGGCCTACATAGCTGTGGGGGCCTACATAGCTGTGGGGGCCTACATAGCTGTGGGGGCCTACATAGCTGTGGGGGCCTACATAGCTGTGGACACACCAGGGCTGCCTTTGCCTTCCATGACCTGGCACCTCCCGCAGAGTATGCCTGTGAGTTACCAGGCTCAGTGGCGGGGCTCGAGTCCCCCAAGTGTGATGAGTGTATGGGGTTGGGACCCCCGGGTGTGACGTGGGAGAGCTTGGGATCCCTGTCACTCCTGTGTCCTCTGGGGTGCTCGGGCAGCTGGCGGTGGAGTTAGCCCAACGCTGGGCCACTGCCTGCTCTGTCCCCTGTGGCCTCTGCCTCCTTGAGCCAGTCCCCCACCTGCACTCTCTGAAGAGACCCAGCACCGCTTCCTCCTGGGGCGGGAGCCTGCTCAGCGCTGGGCTGGGTCCACTTCCTGCCTGCCCCTGCTGGACCCCCAGCGCTGCCACCTGTCTGTTTTTGACCAGGCCGTGGGGCCTGTGCCTGGTGTCCTGACAGGGTTTAGCTAGAGGTCCCAGCTCCTGGTTAAACCTGCTTCTGCCTCACTCGCGTGTCCCCTCCCACAGGTACCAGCAGATCCTGCACCGGAACCTGGTCTACCTGGCCACCATAGCCGACTCCAACCAGAACATGCAGTCGCTGCTGCCCGCCGTGAGTGCCAGGCACGGGGGCCAGGGCTCCCCACTTACCGCCAGGAGCCACACACTGCCTAGGTCCAGGTTCCCAGCGTGTCACCTCCAGTAGGAAGGTGACCTGAGGGACCACATCTTGGGGAGGCAGGCGTTGGGGCCTGGGGCTGTGGTGTGAACCTTTCTGTCACACTGGTGGTAAACCTGTCGGCGGTGGACAGGTCCCTCCCGTTGGGGAGGGTGACTCGACCCCCAACAGGCAACCTGGGAGGGTGGACGGCCGGTGTCTGAGCACTGGAGTGGGGTCCCTCTGGGCCTGCTGGGCCCTTCCTTGTCTTTTGGGGCCAGGGCTCTGACTCTGCCTTGCACAGTGTGACTCCTCTGTCCAGCGTCAGCCATCAGGAGCTGTGCACGTGCTGTGACTGGAAGCGGAGCTTAACCAGGAAAACCCCCAGTGCCACAAATACTCTAGATGACAGTCTCAGTGTTTGGCTTTTTTGAGGGAGTTGTGTTTGTCCAAGGCATAGAACACAGGGGTCCTCTACACTGAGCCATGTTTTTATTTTTTATTTTGAGATGGAGCCTTGCTGTATTCTTGAGGCTGGCCTCAAACTTGTGATCCTCCTGCCTCAGCCTCCTGAGTTGCTAGGATTACAGGCGTGGGCCACTGTGCCTGGACTGATTTGGTTTTAAAAACGTTTTCCCTAAATTGAATTTTCACTGTGAGGTGCGATCGCTTTGGCCTCTTCCATGTTGGGAAAGTGCAGCCAGGGAAGTAGCAGCCTCGCGTTGATGGGTGCCATGGCCCCAGAACGGCTCACTTACCAGTGCCCTGGTTCCCCTGGAAAGTGGTGACATTAGAACTGTTAAGGCATGTTTTGTAAGTCCATAATGTTAAGCAGCCTTGGTTGGCCTGTCGGGTTTCCTCTCCCAGTAGGTGCCAGCAGAGCCTGCTGGAGGCTTCTGTTTTGGGCCAGGTGTATTCAGTGTCTGTGCAAACATTTGGGGCCGTAGGTTGATCTAGATGTGGGAGTGACGGTCCAGGGGGTCTCCTGTCTCCCGTACATCCCACCTCCCTGCTGCATACTGTGATCAGAGGTGGGCTTGGGGGAATAAAGAATGAGAGAGGAGGGGGAACATCAGTGAGCCAGCTTGTGCCAAGGCCCTGGAGTGCAAAATGGTGGGGACTGTGGACACTGAGGTGCTTGTCAGCCGATCCTGAGAAGGATATGGGGGGCCAGCAAAGGGGTTCCCTGTCGTCCCAGCAAGGGGACCAGTTTTTGAACACCCAAGTGTGTGTGGACAGGCTGGGCTCTTGTTTACACTGTGTTGTCTCCACTAGGCCTGAGATGTTGGGGCCTAGTCACCACCACTGTGCTGCAGAGCGTGACAGTGGCTGTAGGTCTCCGACATTGAACAGATGGCCATGGATGCAGTGAGAATTCTGTGCGCCACCAAATCCCAGGTGGCTGTTGGTGGCTCTTAGTTAGCCATCCTCCCAACCTTCTGTCACTGCAGCCGCCCACCCAGAACATGAACCTGGGCCCCGGAGCACTGAGCCAGAGCGGTACCAGCCAGGGCCTGCACCCCCAAGGCAGCCTCAGCGACGCCATCAGCACAGGCCTGCCCCCGGCCTCCCTCATGCAGGGCCAGATCGGCAATGGTGAGCAGGTTTGCAGGGGACATTCCCAGTACCACGGTCCCTGAGACAGCCACAGGGGCAGCTGCCACGGTGGGGCCCCCCCCAGCCTGCAGGGCTGGGCTCGGTGTCCCTGGCTTCCGCGTCCTGGAGTCACCGTGCCCAGGGAGCAGAGCTCCAGACCCCACCATGCGCACATGGTCACACGATGCCCACTTCGAATGCAGAGTGCGGTTCCAGTGGGCACCCAGTGGGAGTGGAGCCCGGCTGCCTGGAGAGGGACCCGCTCGTCACGTGTGCACTTGCTTGACCTGGGGCTGACCTGGGTTAGTCGCCTCCCTCCCCAGAGCTGCCCAGAGGAGACGGAGGTGCTCACTGGCCCCGCCCCTGATGCCCACCCTCCACAGGTCCCAGTCACGTGTCCATGCAGCAGACGGTGCAGAGCACCCTGCCCACAACTTCCATGAGCATGTCTGGTAGTGGCCACGGCTCGGGACCTGGTTACAGCCACTCGGGACCTGCCTCTCAGAGCGTCCCCATGCAGGGCCAGGGCGCCATCAGCAACTACGTGTCTCGGACCAACATCAACATGCAGTCCAACCCAGGTACTCACCGCGGGCCGTGCCTGTGGGTCCCGGGGTCACCCATGTACTGGGCACAGGGAAGGAGAGGATCAGCAGGGCTGGCCGCCTCCCCCAGGCCTCCACAGGGCCAAGCCAGTGGCATGCAGTGATGGTGACTCTGGGCTGCTTCTCGGGAGGCCCCGGTGGGGGGCAGCATGGCCTGGGTCTGTGAGCCCCATGGGCTCGGTGGAGTGGCTCCCGAAGCAGGATGTTCCCTGAGTTACAAACGCTAGTCTTTAGAGCTTATTACAGAACAGGACGTGAAATGCCTCCCAAGTTTGTTAATCACATGCTAAAATGTAACTTGGAAGTATTGACTCCAACAAAACGTATCAGGACAGACCCCCCTTTCTTCTCCAACGTGGTTGCTAGAAACCTTAAAACCGTGGCTCCTGCCTGTCTCTCTGGAGCTGCCCCGCATCTCTGAGCAGGACGAGTGTGACAGGCCAACAGGCGGGTCAGTCGGGGTGCTCAGGGGACAGTGTGACTCAGGACCTGCCCAGGGACAGGGAAGGTCGGGACTGCTTGGGCTAGGGTTTGCTGAGAGCTGCGGGGCCATGGTGTGTTGCCGTGGGAGCCCCGTCCTCCTGCCCAGAGGCACGTGTAGACCAGCACCCAGCCCTGGGCCCTGACCCTGCGCTGGGAGACATGCCTTGGGGTCCAGGTGACATGGGGGTGGGAGGTCAGGGGCTGGCCTGCGCTTCCCAGGTGACTCGGGGTCTCTGTCAAACAGTCTCCATGATGCACCAGCAGGCGGCCACATCCCACTACAGCTCTGCGCAGGGCGGGAGCCAACACTACCAGGGCCAGTCGTCCATGGCCATGATGGGCCAGGGCGGCCAGGGCAGCAGCATGATGGGGCAGCGGCCCATGGCGCCCTACCGGCCCTCCCAGCAAGGTGAGGCATGCACCCAGGACCCCTGCTCCCGCGTTTCCCCACCTGAGCATGAGCGAGGACACTGGGCCTGCTGAGGGTCCACGTGTTCTGGAGGTGACCTGGTGTGGGGCTGTGGTCCTCTGGGCAAGGGACCCGAGGGAGGGGCAGCTGGTGGTGGTTACAGATGCCAGACCCAGAGCCTTGCTGGGGCGGGAGGAGGGGAGGCCTGGTGGCTGCGGTCCTGGCCCCGGGTGAGTTCTTGGTGGTGGGCCCTGCTGCCCAACTGGGTCCTGGCTATAAGGAAAGCTGCCCCACGCTGTGTGGGTCCTGAGCGTGGTGTTGCCTGCAGGCTCTGCGCAGCAGTACCTGGGCCAGGAGGAGTACTACAGCGAGCCGTACGGCCACAGCCAGGCCGCCTCGGAGCCCATGAGCCAGCAGTACTACCCCGAGGGTGAGGCCCGAGCACGCGGGGGCAGGACGCAGGCTCAGCCGTGGAGTCTGAGCTGGGAGGGCCTGTCTGCCATAGACGGACCCTGAGACGGCCTCGGGTGGGCTGGCAGGCCTGCACAGCACCCGCTACTTGTCACCTCTGATTGTGCATTTAGATCATCCCAGGATTTGAGAAGGTAGCATTTAAACTAGTCTTTAAAAATGCATACGTTTGGGAAGACAAAGACAGGGCTCCCTAGAGGACAGCCGGGTGGGCTGCCCAGTTAGCCTGGGCGTGAGGCAGGTGCCCTCCTGCTGGGAAATGGGTGTAGATGCTCACCGAGGCCAGCCATGGGGCAGGCTGTGTCCCTGTAGTCATGGTGCCACACAGCACCCTGCCCAGAAGCCCCAAGCGCCAAGCAGGGCCAGAGGAGAGCAGCTGGTGCTCCCGGAGCCAGCTGTGACAGACTGGACCTGGCCTCTCAGTAGCCCGGGGTGTGGGAAGTGACCCCTGCGTTTTGTTTGCTTATTTTTGGTACGGGAGCTACGTCCCAGCACGTCTCCCTCTTATCCTGACTGCTGAGGCTGCCCTGAACTTGTCTTCCCCGGAGTGGCTGGGGTCAGGGTGTGGCCACCTGGGCAATCAGGCCCTTGACCCGCTCTGCCATGTCCCTGGCCTGGCCCGACTGTCCTTTCCTGGGCTCGCACGTCTCCCCCAGGACCGAGAGGCAGCGTGCGGCCTGCCCACAGCCGATGCCCGTCTCTTGCAGGCCACAGTGACTATGCCTACCAGCAGTCGTCCTACTCGGAGCAGAGCTATGAGCGCTCCTTCGAGGAGTCCACGCAGCACTACTACGAGGGGGGTAAGCAGCCCTGAGCGGGGACGCCACGTGCCTGAGAACAAGCAGTGCTGCCCAGGGCCGCCCTGGACCCAGACACCCGGTGGCACAGAGCTGCGAGAACCTTCTCCTAGAAGATGCGGGTGTTCCGCCAGGTGCCGGGTCCTGCCTGCCTGGTGTGTTGGGATATGGGAGAGCTTCGGCTGGACACTGGGGGTGCGGGGGACAAACCTGCCGTGCAGTCCAGCTGTCCAGTGTGTGGCCTGGGAGCTGCTCTCAGCCTCCTCAATCAGAGCCACCCAGCAGGGACTGAGGCACCTAAAGCCCTCATGAGCCAGGCCGGGAGTGTGTGGGGTGGGGTGGCATGGTCAGGTCTGGCCCAGCATTTCTCCAGAGCCCTGCTGACCGGGTCAGACACGTCTTGGGCCAGGTGCTTGCAGCCCTGCCCAGAGCGCCGTGGCCACGCCACCTGTCAGGTGAAGGTGAGGTGGCGGGTGATGGGAGCTTGCTCTCAGGCAGACAGCCCTGGCCTTCCCACTTCATGGTTTGAATGTGCCCACCCTAGCCACCAGTGGCACATCGCTGAAGGTGCCTTGGGGAGAGAGCTGCGCAGTCAGATCCCCTGCGGGTGAGCGCAGCCCCGGAGTGCCCTCAGCTCACAGGCCTGCAGGGCCTCTGCTGCCGAGTTCCAGGCTTCCTGGTCCAGATGTTGGTGGTGGGAACGGCAGGGCTATGACGGGCCGGGTGAGGGAGAGCAAGAAACAGGTGGCTTGCCTAGGCCACGCTCAGGTGCGTTCCTTACGTGCATTTGTGGGTAAATATGCCACAAACGACACTTACCATGCAGCCCTGTTCAGACAGCCTGCCCAGTGGCCTGCGCACATTCATAGTGGCATGCAGCACCATGCCGCCCACACACACAGGACTTCCCACACCTGACACCAAGACTGTCCCCACTGAACGCCAGCCCTGCCCCCCCAAGCCCCCTGACCCACCCTTCTGCCTCGGCCTCCGTGGTGTGCACTGCCTGGGGCCTCCCGTGACCAGCTCGCCACACCCCACTGGTGTCCTCAGCTTCCTTGTTGTAGCGGGGCCAGGTGGCCCTTTCTGAAGGCCCGCGGTGTGCTTCCTCTGCCCTCCTCTGTTCCCAACACTTGGCCTGTGCTTTGGCTGTCATTGATGGTGCTGCGGTGAAGGTGGCAGGCTGCACGTGGGTCACGTGGCAGTTGTGCCTGGCTTCTCCAGGAACCCACACACTGCTTTCCACAAAGCAATTCTGGTTTTTAGTTACACGTGGCAAAATATTTTAGAAGATTTGAAAACAGGGAAAGTCCTCCAGAAGGCTGGTGGCAGGCCACCTGCCAGGACCCAGTGAGCGTCCTGGGCTGCTCCACCTTCTTGCACCGCCGAGCCCACCCCGCTTGTCCTGAGGGGTGGGTCTGGCCCCCAGGCTTTCCGCCTGCAGACACTGGCCTGCTGGCCCCACCTGGTGCTGAGGCAGGTTCCGAGGACGGACCGTCCAGGCTGCGGGGTTAGGAAGCTGCAGAGGAACACAGACCCAGAGGGTGGCGCCTCAGGGTCTGCTGGGACAGTTGCACACCGGCACCTCGGTGGTCCTTGCAGCCGCACAAGCAGTTCACGCCAGACTTGGCCCTGCATCAGAACGGGTGGGACTGTCACGTAGCTTGTCATCCATCGGGACATAGGCAGGTTCTGTGCTGCTCCCTAGAGCCCAGTTTGTGCTCACCAGAGTGGACCCTGCTGAGATCCAGCCTTGGAGGTGGGAGGACAGACCCCTGGCTGTGGCCACATATGGCTTCTCACTGCTCAGAATAGACACCAGCAGACATGCCCCACCTCCTGGGAGCTTCTCAGGACTCGTCCTGCATAGGGCCCTGGGCAGAGGGCCGGCTTTGAGCTGCTGGGCAGTTTTCTGTGGGCTGGTGTCTGTGGCCAGCATGAATGGGTCTGAGGGCCTTAGGGGCTGATGGAGAAAAGGCAGGACCATCAGACGTGGGAGGACCTGGCTCTGTCAGGCAGCACAGAGTGAGTCTGCATGGGGGATGTCTCTCCCGGAGGAGCCCCATCTAGAAAGGATGGCGGGCCAGCGCTGGTCTGGGAGAGGCTGCATGTGGGTGCCGCAGCCGGGGACCTTCTTCACAGCCCCATCTTTCCATAGAAACAGCTGTCTGGAAGCAGGCAGGCCCACGGGGCTGCGTGCACTTGTTGGGGCTATTTTTCCGAGAATTGGATCTATAGCTGTTCTGCTGTCGAGCTAATGAGCTAATAGGTCCCAACCTGCTGTGAAGAAACCACTCACATGTATACCCACCTCATACCTCTTGTTGTGCACCATAAAGATACATACTTGGGTTTTTTGTTTGTTTGTTTGTTTTTTAGCAGTACTGGGGATTGAACCTAGGGGTGCTCTACCATTGAGCCACTCCCCAGTCTTTTATTTTTTATTTTGAGGCAGTCTTGCTAAGTTTCCCAGGCTGGCCTTGAACTTGAGATACTCTTGCCTCAGCCTCCCAGGTCATTGGGATTACAGGTGTGCATCACTGTGCCACTGTGTCTTTCTTTTTTTTTTAATTATTGTATTATTATTATTTTATATTTCCAGTTTTCCTCCCAGCTTTATTAAGGTGTAATTGACAAAAGTGGTATATAATGCCAGCATAGTGGCAGATGGCTTGGCTCTCTCCTGGATTGAGAAGAGCTGTGTTCCGTTCTTCTCATTAGACTGCAGCATGAGGAACATGTGCAAAGGGACTGTGGTCTGTCTCGCCCCACGGCGGTGCATTGTGAGGTCCTGGGTGGGGTGAGAAGTGGAGTGCTGTTTTGAGGACTGGGGTATAGATCTTGCCTCCTTCGGGTGCAGAGCGGCCCCTGGAAGTCAGAGGCCAACATAAAGAACTTCCACAGGAACCTTGTGGGTCATAGGCACTGACCACCAAGGACCAGAGGCAGGAGGCCTGGGGTGAGCTGAGTGAGCTGGGTAGGAGTGTGACACCATAGAGTGCTGACCGGAGGGGTTCGGGTACAGTGGGCTTGGCACTGTGGTGAGCTTGCGGCAGCACAGCCCGCACAGAGCGAGTCCCTCCTGAGTGGCCCTAGGCACGACCCTGGAAAAGGTGCTCCCTATGAACTGCAGAGGCCAAGCACAGAGCAGACAAGAGGGAGGACGGGACTGTGCTCAGCATGCTGCCACAGCACACCCCAGGCAGCCGGGAAAGGCTCCGAGACACCAGTGAGAACAGTTAGCGGGGGCGGGCAGCGCGGCAGGAGTGGAGTGCCCTCTGTCCCTCTCCGAGGTGGGCCCCTGTTTGGTTTTACGTTTCTCAATCATGAGAGTGAATTTGCTTATTTAGAGGTTAGAGTTGGAAGTGTCAAATGTTGGCTGTCAACCAGGACAGGAGGACCCTGGCCGTACGGTCATCCACACCATCTGCGCTTCCTGGAATCCCAAGAGCCCCTGGTGTGTCCTCTTGGGTGTTGCTCAGGAGCCTGCCAAGTGTGACTGACATGTCCCCTAGGAGTGGGGGTTCAGACTGGCAGCATCCCAGCAGCAGCAGAGCGCACCCCATGCTGCATTTCTGCTTCCAGAACTTGTTAATATGTCCCTTGTCCCTTGTTCGTGCCGCCACGCCCTGACCATGTGTTAGTAAGCTGAGTGTGTATACTGGTCAGGGCTGGCCTCTCCTTCCACTGTACGTAGTGCTGCCCTTTATCCCTCATGACCACATCACAGGAAGCTGTGGATTCCTAGACAGAGCTGGGAGCAGAGAGGTGGAGCGTGTGTGTGCGTGTGTGTGCCTGGTGGCGCGGAGGCCGGGCCGGGGCTGTCCAGCTCTGCTGAGGCCCCATCCATGGCCTGCTGTCAGACACCTGACATTTGTGCTTGCTCCTCCCAGATCCCTGGAGGTTTTCCAGGTGCACGAGAGCAGGCACCCCAGGAAAAGCTGCTTTACCTGTCATCTCATAAAGAGTAAGAATGGGGCCAGGAAATACAAGAACACTGCAGCTGGCCAAACCCCGAGGCCCCTGAGGAGCCTGCTGAGGCTCTGGTGGATCCTGAAGTGCTGGACTGACCGAGTCCTCTGGCTCCCTGGAGTTGCCTCTCCTGCCCTGGGCTTGCTGGAGCCAGCTCGGTGTTGAGGAGGAGCCTGGGTTAAGAGCTCAAGCTGGGCGGGCGGACCCTGGGACGGACGCAGATGGCTTTCTAGAAGTCTGTTACTAGGACTCAGTTTCAAAGGACTTAACTTTTGCAGGTCCTAGAAAGGTTGTCACCCACAGCCAGACCGGTCGCAGGAGCACAGGCTCCTCGGGTCTCACCCTCGGCCCCTGGGTGCCGCCCTGTATTTCCAGGGCACATTTTCATAAGAACAGCCATTCCTTTTGGGCATGTTCTGGGTCCCAGAAGTGCACCTGTCTCCCAGTCCCTGCCCCAGCCTCAGTCCCCTCCTGGGCCTGGAATTGGGCCACGCAGATGTGGTCCCACACAAATGAACCATGTGCGCTTTGTCGGGTTTTGCAGACAGCAGCCTGCTTGAAAGCAGGAGGCAGGACGTGGTCTAGACACCTCCTGGGGGAGGCATCCCTGCCTGGAGCCGACTCTGACCTGCTGGCCCTGCAGTGGGCACTTCAGACCCCCCAGGAAGACGTGGGGAGACTGCAGCTCGTCAGTGCCCTCTGAGCTTGGCGAGGCTGTCTGCACACGTGTGCCACTTCACTACTCAATGTCTCTGAAATGAAAAGGCCTTGGCGTGGGCACAGCCGGGAATCAGATTTTGGAAACAAGCACAAGTGTTTTCTCCGAAGGAAGAAGAAGTGAGAGCCGGAGCCCTCTTGCCTTCTGCCCACCTGCTGGTGACGGCAGCCTGTGGGAAGCTTCTGCCCACATGCACTGAGTGGAAGTAGGAACTTGGTCCCCAGGATCAGCTGTGGCCTCAGCCTGATGTCCTCAAAGCACTGGAGCCCGTTGGGCCCAGTAGGAGTGTGAACTTCAGCTGACTGCATCTTGACCTGAGGGACGTGTCCAGGCGACCCTCTGCCATGAGCCTCCTGGGCATCACACGGCGTGTCCCTAGGAGAAGGCAGTGGCCTGGAGACAGGATGCAGGTGTCCCCGCCCCTCCCAGAGGCCCTGCTGTGGCTAGTGGCTCAGGACGAGAGGGCCTGTGGGTCTGAATGCCCATCTTCCAAGTGAGGCTGCTGCGTCCATTTCGCCACCTGCAGAGTGGGGACGACAGCAGTGCTCACTGCACAGGGTGGTCCAGGAGACTGCTGGAGCTCTCTTGTGACCCACTTGAGCATCCCTGGCTTGGTAGCCATTTCTCAGTACCTGGGCTGCCCCGCTGTCTGAAACACGAGGGAAGGTGCATGTCTGCAGGCGGCTGCGCTGGGCTCTGCTGGCCTCCCTGTGCCATTTCCTGGGCCTTCCAGACGTGGTTCTCTGCCCGCTCGCCTTGCCAGGGGCCTTCACAGCCAAGGTGCCTTTGGTCAGTGCTGTGGTGTCCTTTTCGCTTCCAGCTGCCGCTGGTGCTGTGCTCATGGGCCGTCCAGTCTCCCGGGCATTCAGTGGCAAGGGACCATCATCCGGCCACCTAAAGCAACAGGAACCCATTGCTCTGGAGGCTTGAAGGCGGAGGCTGGGGGTCAGCAGGGCACGTCCCATGAGAAGCCACTGGCCGCCCCCTCCGTCTTTGGCGTGGAGAAGCATGGCTCCATCACGTGGCTTCATCCACAAGGCTGTGTCCAGGGCGCCTTCCAGTTAGGTCTGCAAGGCCCTGGTTCCTCTCAGGACTCGGCCTGTCTTGTGGGGCCCAGCATAGCCCAGGGCATTGGCGTTGGCCAGTGGCCACACCAGCCATGTCGCTCTTTGTCAAGAGGAGATGTAGACTTTGAACATGTGGACAGCCCGCCTGGGCCTACTGCTGGCCACCGGCAGTGAGCGCATGCCCTTCTCTCTGCAGGGAACTCCCAGTACAGCCAGCAGCAGGCTGGGTACCAGCAGGGCACCGCCCAGCCGCAGACCTACTCCCAGCAGCAGTACCCCAACCAGCAGAGCTACCCTGGGCAGCAGCAGGCCTACGGTAAGAGGGCGCTCCCCCGAGGGCCCGCCCTGCACCCCAGGTGGGCACGCGCCTGCTTAGGGCCTCGTTCTGGAGCAGTTCCAGGTCTCCAGGACAGTGGCCAGGATGGTGCAGGGCGACCTGCGTCCAGCCAGGGCCTGTGGTGACCTGACGTGGCTGCCACGACTGGGAAACCGGCGCTTGCTCCCGGGGGCCAGACCCACCCTGCGTCCAGACTCCTGGTCCCTGGTGTCCTTCCCCGGGGGCCAGACCCACCCTGCATCCAGACTCCTGGTCCCTGGTGTCCTTCCCCGGGGGCCAGACCCACCCTGCGTCCAGACTCCTGGTCCCTGGTGTCCTTCCCCGGGGACCAGACCCACCCTGGGGACCAGACTCCTGGTCCCTGGTGTCCTTCCCCGGGGGCCAGACCCACCCTGCGTCCAGACTCCTGGTCCCTGGTGCCCTTCCCCGGGGGTCAGACCCACCCTGGGGACCAGACTCCTGGTCCCTGGTGTCCTTCCCCGGGGGCCAGACCCACCCTGCGTCCAGACTCCTGGTCCCTGGTGCCCTTCCCCAGGGGCCAGACCCACCCTGGGGACCAGACTCCTGATCCCTGGTGTCCTTCCCCGGGAGCCAGACCCACCCTGCGTCCAGACTCCTGGTCCCTGGTGTCCATCCCCTGTCCACGGGCTCCTCTGCTCTGGGTGTCACAGATGACCTCACCCCTTGACCATCTTGGGCACACATGCCTCACGGGGGTGTGCCGTTTTCCCCAGGTGAGACTAGGTCATGGGTTTGGAAGGAAGACCAGTGGGTCCCATCTCGCACAGCCAGTCCTCACACAGCTCGCCTGTGGCAATGTGGCCAGCTTGCCTGGCCCTGGTGGTGGTAGCCAGGTGTCTCCTTTGTCCGTTCCTCCCTCCTTCCCTTCCTTCTGGGGAGCAGGTCAGTAAGCTCCGGTCAAGAGGGATCATGGAATTCAGCAGGGAAATGCCCCTTGTCTGTCCACTCACCCCTCCAGGTGTGTTTTTAGGTCAGCATGTGCAGGTGGACGTTAACCTCCACATCGGGTCATGGTCTGGTACCATTGTACTTAGTGGTCGAATAGCCCTGGCTGTGGTCCCTATGCCCTTTATTTTTTTTTTGAGGGGGGAGGGGTACTGGGGATAGAACTCAGGGGCACTCGACCACTGAGCCACACGCCAGCCCTGTGTTTTATTTTATTTAGATACAGGGTCTCACTGACTTTCTTAGCACCCACTGTTGCTGAGGCTGGCTTTGAACTCACGATCCTCCTACCTCAGCCTCCCGAGCAGCTGGGATTATAGCTGTGTGCCACCGCGCCTGGCCACTGTGTCCCTTTAGCATGTTTCACTTTTGGGGGGTTTTTAAGCACCTCTGTGTTTTCTGTGTAGCCCTACAGTCAGCCACTTCTCCAGGGAGACCTGGTCCCTTTCGTTGGAGCATAGTGGTAGACACTGAGCCCCGCGTGGGAGGGTGCTTTCTGCATCCACCTTGCTGGGCTTTCCCCGAGCCTGCCTGCAGGGGGGCTAGTTTAGTGGCAGGGCCAGAAGCACTTTTCTTTTTTTTTTTTTTTTTTAATTTTTTTATTGTTGGTTGTTCAAAACATTACATAGCAGAAGCACTTTTCACTCAAGAGCTTCTGCTCCCCGCGAGAGGATCGCTAACTTGAGACCTAGCCAGGAAGTTCGCCGAGGCTGATCGAGGCCCTTGAACAACCTAACCCTGCTTTCAGGATCCATGGGGTGCACAGGAGTCAGAGGCCAGGGTATTTCTCCCTTCAGCAGGAACACTGCAGAGTCCTGTTACCCAAAGCTCTGCAGGAACAAGCTCAGTCCACCCAGGCCAGGTCTCAGCAGGGCCCTGGCCCCAGTCTGCCCGTGTCAGGACCCTGTCCTGCCTGGCCCCTTGCCTACAGGTTGCACTTGGCCAGAGACCCAAACTGCAGGAAGCTCCCCTTGGAACTCCCCTGACCTGGGGGGCGCATGCCCTCTTCACCCTGCAGTCACAGAAGGCCACTGGGTGACATCCCTGCAAGCTCTCGGCATTTAAAGTACACAGAAAGGCTGCCCGTCCCCAGGTCAGAGCTGGCAGGCAGAGACCTCTGCTGGGGTTGCGGTGGCCATGCCTGTCATCCCAGTGACTCAGGAGGCTAGGCAGGAGGATCACAAGTTCCAGGCCTCCTCAGCAACTTGCTGAGACCCTGTCTCAAAAACAAAAAGGGGGAGGGAGGCTGGGGATGGAGCTCAGTGGTAAAGTGGCCCTGGATTCAATCCCTAGTCTCGGGACAGAAAAAAACACTAGTCCTCACAGGCCCCCACCCACCCAAAGAAGGAGCCTCTCCACTTACTTATCCTTGAATCTGGGGTCAGGCAGGATCTTCTTCCTCTGGTGTAGCAGGCAGCCAGCTCCTGAGTCTTGGAGGAAGCTATTCTGGCCAGTGGGTCCCAGTGGGTCTCAGCCCTCACTGCACCGGAGTCGTCTGAGTGCCTTTTGAAAAGGAGCTGGGGCCGCTCAGACCCATTCTCAGGGTGGGCCCTGTGGGCAAGGCCCCCACAAAGCCCACAGGGTTCTGGGGGAGGAGGAAGCCAGATAGGACCCTTTGCCTTTATGACACGGCCAATTGAATAGCATCTAGGACAAGCCTGGGGAGCTGGGCTCAGCGCAGTGGTGGAGTGCTGGCCTGGCACGCGCAAGGCCCTCTGTCAGTAAAAACATGGCCAGCCTTTATCGATTGTTTCCAAAGCCTTCAACTTAGTTTTCACAGAATTGCTGGCCATTTCTCCTCTGCTGCAAGCTTCCCCTGTTTCCTGTGATCTTTGAAGTACGAGTTGACAGTGTCCATCTTGTGTGACCTCAGCTGGTCTGGAACAGTGTGTGGGAAGAGGCCTTGTGGCCCATCCCAGGCAAGGGTGCAGGACGGGGTCTGGCCAGTAGTCCCATGGCCCTCTCTCCCCGTATTCGTGGTGAGGAAGAACAGGTCCCTGGTGTTTTGGAGATTCCAAAAGAGGGGTGAGCCAGTGCTGGTCCCCACAGAGCCTGTGTCTCCTCAGGGCCTGCCCAGAGTGCCCCCTCACAGTACTCCAGCTACCAGCAAGGACAAGGCCAGCAGTACGGGGGCTACCGAGCATCGCAGACGGGACCCTCTGCCCAGCAGCAGCGGCCTTATGGCTATGAGCAGGCAAGTTACCTGGGTGCTTCGAGGCCCGCCCCCGCCACCCCCCCGCTGGGGCTGTGGAGATGACAGTCATGAAGCATAATGAGGTAGCCTTGATTGGTTCCAGGTTCCTTTCATGATCACCTCTGCCTCAGCTCTGAGGCACACACCCATAGCTACTTTGGAGGCTGCAGCAGGAGGATCACAGGTTCAGACCTGCCTGGCAACGTAGTGAGACCCTGTCTCAAAATAAACAGGGCTGGGCTGGGGTTGAGGCTCAGCAATAGAGCGCTTGCCTCGCATGCGTGAGGGCCTGGGTTCAATCCTCAACACCACATGAAAATAAATAAATAAAAATATATTGTGTCCATCTACAACTAAAAATATTTTTAAAATGAAATAAAAACGGCTGGGGATATAGCTCACTGCTAAAGCCCTCCAGCATTCCGTCCCCAGTACCAAAAAAAGGTCTCACCTCGACAGACAGCTGGCCTGCTGCACCCTAGACTGACCGTTAGGTTCTCCTTTGCTCCATCAGTTCTGCAGGTTTTCACTGTGCACCTAGCAGGTTGGGGCCTCTGCCAGGTGGGTGAGGCGGGCAGTGACAGGACCCTGTGCTGTGGGCAAAGACAGCTCACTGAGGAGGCAGCACACAGTTGGTGGCACCCACTACTGTCCTGGGAGCAGGTGGAGAAGGGCAGCAGGTGGGTGGACAGGAACCCTGTCTGCCAGGGGACAGTTGGTCAGGAGCCAAGGAAGACCATTCTTGGTGGGCAAGAATGAGGACTTCTGCAGCAATAAGGCCTGTGTGGCCAGAACCCGGGCACAGCAAGAGCCTGGGAAGAGGTGGTGGTGAGACTAGGGTCATGGCTCAGGGTAGGGCGCTCGCCTGGCATGCTAGAGGCTTGGGGCTCGATCCTCAGCACCACAGAGAAGTAAACAAACCAGCAAATAACTAAGAGGTGATGGAGACAGGCTGCAGGGCGTAGGGCTCCACAGGCCTCACAAGGAGTCGCCCTTTGCAACTGCAAGGACAGGGTCTGTGTGCCTGAAGCACTGAAGGGGCTGCTGAGGGCCATTGCTAAGTAAGAATGACGCATGGCATGACCCAGGTCATTTGCAGTGTCATTGCATGTAAGGTGACCTTGCTCAAGGACCAGGGCGGATCCGGGTTTAGGGTGGGTCGGGGTTTAGGGCGTATCCTGCTGCCTCAGGCTCGCCCGCTCCTTGAGTTCCCGTTGAGTTCTCACGGGATTCAGAGGGTATTTGGGGCCCAGAACGTGGATTTGCCCAGAACGTGTGTGTAAGTGCCAGTGACAGTTCGAGAATAAAGAGAGTTGCTGTTTGAATCTACAAGGTGTGTGATGGCTCATGATTTTGTGCCCAGCCAGACTGTGGCAAGGGGCAAGGACTCTCATGGATGAGATGAGCCAGGCTCAGGGAGAGGACATGCAAAAGTCTTGGGGAATGGCAGATTTGTTGTGTTGTAGACAGCAGGGAAAAGACCGGGTAGCTGCAGTGTAGAACAATAGAGGGAGATGTGTCTCAGACATTTATTTGGAGCTTCCTTTGAAGAGAATCCTTAGCAAAAGGTGACTCTCCACAGTGACGTGTAGGTAGCAGGCATCAGTGACCTCACACAGCCAGTGAAATTCCAAAGCACCATGTTATGGTTGTTTTCCTTGGATAACTGAGTGGCTAAGAGGGGGTTTTCTTTTTTTTTTTTTAATATTTACTTTTTAGTCATAGTTGGACACAATACCTTTGTTTTATTTATTTCTATGTGGTGCTGAGGATGGAACCCAGGGCCTCGCACGTGCTAGGTGAACGCTCTACCGCTGAGCCCCAGCCCCAGCCCCAGATTTCTTAAGTGCTTCTCATCCTACTTCTAAAAGGGTGAACCAATCTGAAGTCTGACTGTGAGCACGGTGTAAAGCCAGCCGTGTGATCATTAGGGCAGAGTCCCTAAAGGAGCAGACCACTGGACATGGGGGACCGTGGTCCAGAGTGCCCTCTGAGTGCTCTGGGTGCAGCGTGCTGGCCCTGCATGCAGGCAGGTCTGGGGTTGGCCTCTGGGTGTGCACTGGGAGCCGCCTGTGGAATCCAGGAGGCGGCAACCTGCCCCTGATGCAAAACTGGAATTACTAGGAAATAACAAGTGAACGTTCTCATCTCGTGATAGACCGACTGGAAGACTTGTAGTTTTATGCCTGCCTCGGAGAAGAGAGCAATGACATTTTGGGGAAAGTATCATCTAGCTCCCAGGATCCTGATTTGTGTATCTGGGAGATACACGGCCAGCTGCAGGCTGTGGGGTCCTGCCACGGGCTGTGGGCTGGAGGGATCAGTGGGGCCATGATGCACTCTGCAGGCCTCTTGCTGGATGCCAGTGCACCCAGAGGCTGCCAGGTGTCGCTGGGGAAAGGATCAGCTCTACTTGAGAAGCCCTGGGCTAGACTTGGATTGTGCTGAGGCATTCAGGCTGCCCAGCTCTTTGGGTGGCCTGAACTCTGCTGTTCTCTCAGCTGACCAGGCCAGATGGGCTTTCCTGTTTGCCTGAATGTTGGCTGGGGTGGGCCTGGCCTCGCTTTTGAGAGCCGACCCTCCTACTCAGAACCATGTCTTGGGACTGGGGACATAGCTCAGTTGGTAGAGCGCTTGCCTGGCATGCACAGAGCCCTGAGTTCAATCCCTAGCACCACACACACACACAAAAAGAAAACCTCTAAGTCTTGATTTCTTCTAGGGCCAGTACGGAAACTACCAGCAATGAAGGACCCGTGTTCTCGTTGGAGCCTGGTGGGAGTGTGTCTGGGCGCTGGACAGCTGTGGTGGTTCTGATGAACTGTGCCATGTTGCTGGCCCCTCACCCAGCGCCGTGCCTGCATGTGAACGTGCCCACCTTATGTTGGGTACGAAGCCACCTGCACCTCTGGTGCAAGACAGCACTGTGCTGGGACCTGGGGTGCCGTGTGTGGTGTTGTATGTCAGTGCGATGGAGCAGTTGTCCCATTTCTGCCCCCCACCCTCTTTTCCGTGTTCCTAGCTAGTTTTGGGGGTCATCTCATCCTCAGTGTTCTGTGCCTGGGGATGGGACATAGCTGAAAGGTGCCACGGTCCTCGTGTTCACATGAGCAAGCTGGGTCTGCTCCCTCCCGTTGGGTGTGCTGTGGCCGGAGCAGCTCCTGCTCTGGCCACTGCCTGCTGCCCTCAGACCCCGTCGCCTCCGGAGCCCGGCAGTGCTGGGCCCTGTGTGTGGGCCAGTTTCTGTTTGGTGTGACAAGGATGCACAGCTTCACCTGCAGGAGCCAGACCCTCTGCTGCCTCGCCCCTCGCCAGCTCTGTTCTCCAGAAGGATATTGTCCTGTGTTAAAGGTGAAGAGGACAGCGACTGTATTCCAAATAATTGAGCCCGAGGGCAGCGTGTGGTCAGCCTGCCCAGGGAGAGTCGTGTCACCCAAGGGCAGGGGCAGTTCTCTGCCAGCAGGGCAGTCGGAAAGGGCCTGGCTTTGGCCTTTGTTCATCTTATGTCTTTTCTAGGATTCGAATATTTAATATGCCCAGTCCTAAGGATTTAAAGTATTTATACCAAATCTCCCAGCGGTTGGCAAGTTGTTTATTTTGTGTCATTTCTTCCAGGACCGACCTGTTCTGATCTCCAAGCAGGCGTTTCTTTCCTTTTAGGGATATCTAAGATCTGCATCCTGTTTTTGAAAAGAACCCCAGTAACTTCCCTGTGTCCTTCTGAATGAAAAGTAAAGGTTTTATATGATGAAAAGTGAGTGACTCTTACATCACTAGGACATTCAACCCCATTTATCTTCTGTGCAAATATCAAGACAGCACACTTGGAAAATCATGGCCAAAGGAAAAAGCCTGCGCGGACCCTTGATCAGCCTTTACCTGGGTAATAACGACCACTGTATTTACTATGAATCCTTTTTTAAAAAAGAAATCTTTGTATAAATGCTGATGTATTTCCAAAAACGACTCAGAAAATACAAAGATTTTCCAGTGCTTAAGATGTTAGGCCTACTAAAGACAACGTTTTCTTTAATCAATTTTATGTTTTAAAAGTTTATCTACTTTTTTCTTTCTTTCTTTTTCTTTTTTCTTCTTCTTTCTTCTTTCTTCTCCCCCCCGCCCCCAGTACTAGGGATTTAACCCAGGGCCGCTGTACCACTGAGTACTCCCCAACCCTTATTTTATTTATTTATTTATTTTTTTGAGACAGGATCTCACTAAATTGCTCGGGCTGGCTTCAAACTTGCCATCCTCCTGCCTCAGCTTCCTGAGTAGCTGGGATTACAGCAAAAGTAATTCTTTGGTCCAGAGTTGAGTACTTCAGAATTCACAGGACACATTTGTTTATTTATTGATTTTTCACTTTCACTATTTTTGCTGCAGTTAATCCTGGCAGTCCAGCTGGGAACTATGGAGGTACTGTTGCTATTTATAGAGAAGAACCAAGGCTCAGATGAAAGGACTTTTCTGTGTTGACTGTCATTCCTGTTCTAGGACATTTTCCACTCTCCTATGAGAACATGGGCATTTCAGTATTTATGTTATAGGCATAGGGTTTTTAAAAAGAAATCCTTAACACTGATAAGGGCTTAAAAATATTATGCCCATATTAAATTACAGAAATGAGAGTTCTTAATTGCTAAATGACAGAGGCACTGGCAGTTTCATTTAGGGGTCATCTCTTGATTTTGTTCCTTTCTGGAAATTTTTATAGAAGTAATTTGCAAACTCAGCTGGGGACTGCTTGAAAATGTTGGACACGTCAGGTAACTGTGAAGATAGTTCCATCCCCGTGTGTGTGCGGTGTGGGTGTTTTTGTTTGTTTGGGGTTTTTTTTGTAGTTGTAGGTGGACAGCATGTCTTTATTTCTTTATTTTTATGCGGTGCTGAGGATCCAACCCAGGGCCTCACACATGCTAGGCAAGCGCTCCACCACTTAGCTACAGCCCCCCACCCCCCGTTTTTCTAAGGATTGTATCAGTGTTTTTTGAAAGAGGATACTTTAAAAACTTATTACCCCAAAACTTCAATCTGGAATGTCTTACATTAAGAATTTCTTGAATGTTGTGTATATATTTTAAAAAGCACTTTGTGAAATAGTTTGTACATTTATTTCCTAATTTATACATGATTTTCAGTGTTAATATATTTATTGATTAATAACAGAATGTTTATTCAATGTTTGTCCACTTTTATGTAATATTGTGGGGAACAGTGTTGCCAACAGTTATTTCATTGGCTGTATTATGTCTTCTCTTCTGTAACGTGAACGTTTGAAAGTTGGGCTAAATGAACTGTCGTGCGGTGCGGATGGCTGTGCCCTGGTTTTTGTCCCCTGCCTAAGGCCAACAGTGCCCGGGAAGCCGCGAGAGCTCCCTGCTCCTCCCGCCCGGCGGGCTGAGCCCAGGTGATGGCTGCTCAGCAGCCTCCGAGGCGCCACGAGGGGCGGAAGCTCCTCCCCTCGGGGTTCGGCGTCCTGGGAGCGGCGTGTCCGGAGGCCCCTCTGGACGGCGCGGGCCCGGAGGGGACTGGACTCCTCGTGCCTCCACGGGCTCAGGGGAACTGGGCCCCCGTGGCCTCCGAGGGGACGCCAGGCCCGGGCCTGCACCCAGGCCTCCTGTGCCCCCGCGGGCGGAGTCTCCGCAGCTCGACGCTCGCGGGTGTTTTGGGCCACTGCCTCGTTCCTGTTACCGAGCAGGTGCAGGACATTTCCGAGGCCGTGTAGGGGCTCCCTTTTGGGGGGTCGGGGTATAAACTAGGTTTCCAGTGCGACCTAACAGCCGCTCTCAGAAGCCCCCGGGAGCCGGCGCCGTGTCCAGCCTGTGATCCCTGCGGCCGGGAGGCTGAGGCAGGAGGATCGTAAGTTCAAAGCCAGCCTCAGCAACAGCGAGGCGCTAAGCAACTCAGTGAGACCCTGTCTCTAAAAGTACAAAAATAGGGCTGGGGACGCGTCTCAGGAGTCCAGTGCCCCGGCGCTCAGTCTCCAGTCCCAAACTGCACAGGAGGCCGGGGGCGGGGCCACACGCTGCCGGGGCCTGCGCAGGCGCGGCCGGATCCAGCCCCGGAAGCAGTGGTTGCCCCGGAAGTGGTGGCTCCTGGGGCCGGCAGTAGCGCGGCGGCGCGGCCGGGCTCCTCGGGCCGGTGCTCGGGTCTGGGGCGCCGGAGGCCTCCCCGGAGCGTGCGGGAGAGCGCCCAGAGGTGGTGGGTGGCGTGGGGTCCCTCATCGCGCCCTAGTCCCCGGCGACGCCCGCGTGCGCGCCGCGCTCTGAGCGCCCCCGCTGCAGCTGGGGCCCCGGAGAGTGGCCGCCCGGAGTCTCCGCCCTGCAGGGCCTCAGGAGGCAGGCGCCACACCGGGGGAGCCGGAGAGTGGCAGTGCCCCTGCCCCTGCCCTGGACTCCGAACGGGGGGAGCAGGGGCAGGACCCGCAGGGGCCCGAGGTGACTCCGTGAGTGCCGCCCTGACCTTCAGGCCGGAGCGGACTGCCGGGAAGCCCTCCCGCTTTCCTTCCAGGCGGTGGGTCCTGGTGAGGCTGCTGACAGGGCAGCCTTGTAAGGGCTGAGCGTCAGCCTCTCCGGGAGGTTTTGGCAGTAACCTGTGGACCAGTACAAGCCGAGCTTGACCCTAGAACCACAGTGACAGTGTCCACCTAAGTCTGTAAAAGCCCTGTCCTGAGGCTGCCAGGCTTGTCTCTGTCAGACCCGATCCTGGGTTCTCACCGTCGCCGTCTTTATTGTTGTGTGCTCAGCTGGGCCCAGCGCAGGGGTACTGTTTCACGGAGCCTGAGAAGAGTTGTGCCCATCACAGCTCCCCACACTTGCTGCCCAGTGTGCTGCCCTGGCCACGTGTGGCCGAGTGCCTGTAGGGCTGAGGAACCAAGTTCACATTTCATTCAATTTTAATTAATTGAAACTTAATAGATCCAAGTGGTTGGAAGGGTTACGATAATGGATAGCATAAGAATAGCCTCATTAGAAAGGAAATCAGGACCACCAATCAGCACTGCAGAGTGTAGAATCTGTTCCCCTGGCAAATGAGGCCTGCATCATCAGTGGGTTCCCTCAACTCCAGTCAAAAGGGCAGAAAAGGTACGCCAAATCAAGCAGGATTTGGAGCTCAGACCTCGGGGGGCATTGCAGTCAACCTGCTTCTTCATCACTGATCTTCAGGGCTCGGGCTCCAAGACAGATGGCATGAGTTTCTGGCTGAGTTGCTGCAGGCGCACTTGTGTGGGTAAGCTGCAAGTTTCTCTCCCAACCACCAGTTTTTACACTCCTTCCTGGTCCCCTCTTTTAAGTCACCTCTCTGCCTCCAATGTATTTATTTTTTATGTGGTACTGAGGATCAAACCAAGGGCCTCACACATACTAAGCAAGGTTTATACCATTGAGCTACAATCCCAGCCCTCCCAGTTATTTTGCTACTAATGTATAAGAACACAGTTGATTTCTAAGTGTAACCTTGTACCCTGCCACCTTGTCCAGCTCCTTTTTTGTGGGGGGGGGGGAACAGGGGGAGGGTAACTGGGGATTGAACTCAGGGGCACTCGACCACTGAACCACATTCCCAGCCCTATTTATTTTATTTAGAGACGGTTTCATTAAGATGCTGAGCACCTTGCTGCTGCTAACACTGGCTTTGAACTCTCAATCCTCCTGCTTTGAGCCTCATTTCTTGATTCTGATTATTGGTTTGTAGATTTCCCGGGGCCTTCTGTGGAATCCCTCGTCTCTTCTGTAAATAGGGAGTTTTACTTCCTCCTCCTTCCGTTCTTTTACTGCAATGTCTGCAAGGACTGTGTGGCATAGAGGTGCTCAGCATGGCTGTCTTGCCTTTTTCTCCATCATGACTGAATATAGCTGGAAGCCCTGGGAGACCTTCTGTCAGTGGGGCAGTGTACCTTTCTCCTGGTTTGCTGTTGCAGTGGTTGTAGGGTCTGCCACCATGGTGAGGTGCCCCGTGGGTTCTGCCTGTGTGTTCTGGGGCAGCTCCTCCTGAGTCTTGGTGCTTGTCCCTTTCCATGCTGCAAGGATGGAAAGGGACAAGAACTGTTTTGCCATGGGTCCTTCGTGCCTATGCACAAGTGGTATTACTCTCTTCTTTCTTTTTGTAAAGTCAGGTTTGGTACTGGGGCTTTACTGGCCTATAAAATTAGTTATATAGTCACCATTAGCTCCTCTCCTTTCTGAAAAGGTGTGTTTAAGACTAGTTATTCTTTGAATGTTTGATGGAATTCATCAGGAAAACAGCCTGAGTCTGGGATTTTGTTTGGGGAATGTTTTTTTTCTAACCAGTTCAACTTCTTGAGTAACCTCAGACTGCCTGGGAGTGGTGGATGGCAGGGAAGCTGGATGCAGTGCACTGGCAGCACTGAGAAATAGCTCACGAAGAGCGTGCCCTGGACCAGTGCTGCTGCTGCTGTCCACACCACCCCAGAACCCTCACCCTGTGTGCAGATCTTCATACCAAGCCCTTCTCTAGCTCTTTGGAATGCCAGCTATGAGCCCCACGATTCAAGTGTATTCTGACACTGTGCCAGGGAAAGGGGATCTCATAAGCCATATACTCAGTTACACAGAACCACTCCCGTCTTGATAGCAGTTGCAAGTAATGGGTCTCCAGGTACCCACACTTCTGTCGGACTTTTCTACAACAAGGAGGGTTCCTCCATCCTCTCCGCAGGTTCACAGGACTCGGGAAAACTTGTAGCATTTACTTGTTTGTTGTAAAGGATCCATTATTTGTAAGGAGACCGCAGAGGATACAGTGAACAGCCACAGAAAGGCCCCCAGTATGGGAGTTTCTGCTCCTGTGGAATTGGGTGTGGGATCCTCCAGCATATGAAGAGTTTGGCCCGAAAACTCTCCAGACCCCATGGCTTGGGGTGTTGGTGGAGGTTCCTCACGAGGTGTGATCACTTGTTGGCTCAGTCCCAGCCCTTCTCTTTGCTGGAGGACAGGGTGAGGTGAAAGTCCCAAGGTTTACTCCAGGCCTGCTCTTTCTGGTGACCAGCTCTTGTCCTGAAGCTATCCAGGGGTCACTGAGAATATCTCATAAAGCAAGCATCCCCCTCTGCATTCCACAAGTCCCAAGGGGTGCGGTGCTCTGGTCAGATGCCACTCTTTACTCCTGTTTTTTCCATCACTCAGGGAGAGAATCACTAGGGTCTGGAATGTGGGGTCAGGCCCAGGGCAGAGACCAAGTAGCTGTTGCTCATCACATCACAGTGGGACAGCCAGTGCTGCTCTGTCCTGGTGGGTCAGCTCAGCCTGTCCTCACCATCCCTGTCCATTTTCAGGTGAGGAGACTGAGGCAGCAGGTGTGTAACCTTCCCTAGGTCGTGCCAAGGTGAGTGGCAAGGCTGGGAGTTTGTTAGAAGGCATCAGGGTGTCATATATGCTGATTTTGTTACTGAAGGGACTGTAGAGCCTCTTGAATGGGGTCTTGTGCCAAGAACTATGCTGTCACAGAGAGCAACCCAAGGAGAGCCAGGGTACCTTGGAAGGTGTGGCAGTGCAGGGCTGCTCATGTGTTACTGGCCTGAATAGCTGGCATGTAAGAATGAAGGGATTTCAAGCTGGGGATCAGTGGTAGAGCGCTCAGACTGGGGCTGGGGCTCAGTGTTAGAGTGCCCCCCTCTCACCTGTGAGGCCCTGGGTTCAATCCTCAGCACCACGTAAAAATAAATAAATAAAGGTATTGTGCCCAACTATTATATATATAAAAAAAAAAGAATGAAGGGATCTTAACCTAAAATATCCAGTGTTCTCACGTTCCAGTTTAATTATTTGAAGCTGCAGGAGATTAACACACTCAGTTACACTTGGACAAATGGATATTTTTATTTTGAAACAATTTTGACTTGAGGTTTTGCTTGCCTTTTAACATTTGCATTAAGCAGCTACTCGATATTCCCCAGGGAAGTATTCCCAGTCCTGTGGGAGACCTAAGGATTTTGATCTTTGTGTGCATATTCTGCTTACATCACAAATGGGCTGGTGGGCACCACAGGATGCCAGGTGCTTAGCATTGAAACATGGATTATTGGTTGGTCCTGTCTCTCTCAGGCACCCAGGTTCTTTCTCCCATGCACCAGGCACTTTGCTTTAGCTTCAGCTTGACATTCAGGGTTCAGCCAAACATCTTATTTTGCCCATTTGGCTCATTTTAGGGGCCATGATCCCTGTGAGGCTGTTCTCAGCAAGCTCTCAGACCCTGTTGGAGGGCCTGGCACAGTGGACCCCGTCTGCACAGGCCAGCCTCAGGCCCTGCTGGCTCCTTCCACAGCAGGCTTCACCCAGGATGCTGTCAGTGGGCTGCGTGGACCACACCAAGCATCAGGAGACCCCTGGAAAGAAGCCACTCTCTGAGAAAAAACTGGTGAGATTTCTCAGCTGGGAGCACCCTGCCATGGGCTCCCCTTTGGAAGGTAGCAGGGTGTCATATATGCTGATTTTGTTACTGAAGGGACTGAAGAGCCTTTTGAATGTGGCCTTGTGCCAAGGACTGTGCTGTCACAGAGAGCAGCCCAAGGAGGGCCAGGTACCTTGGAAGGTGTGGCAGTGCAGGGCTGCTCATGTGTTACTGGCCTGAATAGCCAGCATGTAAGAATGAAGGGATCTTAACCTAAAATGTCCAAGGAGAAGTGGCCCTTTGGTTTTATAGTTTAAGTCTTACAATTATTCTTCTTTTGTTTACCAAAACCTATTTAAAACAAGAATGCTCTTTTAACTAAATTTAAGAAAACACAGCTGAGCATGGTGGCACATGTCCATGATCCCAGTGGCTTGGGAGGCTGAGGCAGTAAGATCATGAGTTCAAACCCAACCTCAGCAACTTAGCAAGTCCCTGAGCAGCTCATTGAGACTCTGTCTCTAAATAAAGTATAAAAAGGTCTAGGGATGTGGCTCAGTGGTTAAGTGCCCCTGGGTTCATTCCCTAGTATCAAAAAAAGAAGAAGAAAAATACATGTTTGCATCTCACTCAGTCTCCTGCAGTTCTCCAGGTGCATTCTAAGAGCAGGGCCTCCAGAGGAGGAACATCTGGTTAGCTCAGGAGCAAAGCAATACCTGCCTAGCCACTTGTTTACAAAAGAAGGGAAGAGAGTGGGGAACTTGGGCAGGCAGCAGGCAGATCAAGGATCTGGCATCTGGTGGCCGAGGGGACGCCCCTTCCTGGCTTAGGCCCAAGTCTACATCTTACCACTTCTGTTTTTCCCCAATCAGGTGGGTCCTGATTTTGTTGGCACATAGCAAAATGGCACAATGAGTTTTTGAAATAGTAATTCATGGTTCCAAGTGGTGGTACCGGGGAATCATAAGCTCTTTATATAACCCACTGGGTGGGAAATACACATGACCTGAGTCCTGAGGAAGGCAGAGGACTGTCAGGGACCAAGGGTATATCTGTCCTTGCAGACCTGCAGAAAGCAGGCGTCCCCATGGATACATTTTGGGCATGGGCACTGTGCCTGAGGCCTGGGGTAGCTGGACTTGTAAGACGAGCTAATGTGTGATAACTAAACTAGTTAGTTGTTCTGCTTCTTTAGCTGGTTGTGCCTGCCTTCAGGACCTGTAGAGAGAGCTGCTTTGAAGAAGGGCTCTGTGTATCACCTCTCTGCATGTCACAGAGAAACCCTAGCAGTTAGGGACAGAGAGTCTTCTCTCTTCACAGCTGAAAGTCCAGGAGAGACTCCACCTTAACCTTGCTGCAGCCTACAAAACTAGAACTAGAATGTTAGCGAAGACCAGACTGTTGGTAATGTGTCCCATTGGAGACAGCTGGGTTCTCTTTAGATTGGAAATGCCGAGTTCCTTTTTGAAGAAACTGAAGCCTAAAAAAATTGTAATGACTTGTGAGAACTGATTTTTATCTTTGGATTTTAGGAGAGATTAGTAATACTATCACCATAAACTTCTAATTTTATAAAAAGGCATTTTTTTCATGGATACTTGGTCTCTTGGAAGGACCATGGGGTGTAGCTAACGCTGTAGGTGTCTTGTGCTTTCTGTAGAAGAGGTATTTTGTGGACCATCGGAGAGTGCTTGTTCGAGGAGGAAATGGAGGCTCTGGCATGAGCTGCTTCCACAGCGAGCCCCGCAAGGAGTTCGGGGGCCCTGATGGTGGAGATGGTGGCAACGGTGGCCATGTCATCCTGAGAGGCACGTGCCCTGAGAGTATCTGGGGAAGAGCCGGGTCCTCACATCTACCTTCTTATCCTGACGTATCTTACATTAAATACTTGATATGTAGACATTTTTATAAAGCATGTGGGTGTTCATAAATGGTGCACTGAAAGCCAGGCACGGTAGTGCAGCCCCTAATTCCAGCCACTTGAGAGGCTGAGGCAGGAGACTTGCAAGTTTAAGTCCAGGCTCTGCAACTTAGAGATGCTGTCTCAAAAATAAGAGAGAGCAGGGGGCTGGGGACAGGGCTTAGTTGGTAGAGTGCTTGCCTCACATGCACAAGGCCGTGGGTTCAATTCCCAGCACCACAAAAAAAAAAAGAGAGAGAGAGATGAGGTGTGGCTTATTGGTAGGGTGCTGCCTAGCATGTGCAAGCCCTGGGCTCAGTGTCCAATATTGCCGAACAAAAGAACAGTGCGCTAAAGAAAGAAATCAGCCTTGAGTGCTTTCTTTTGTTGTCCGGGACACAAACGTAGTTTGCGTTTAGGAATCTTAGCATGGTAGTAGATGTCAGAGCCTCAGTCTTAGTCAGCACACATAAGCCCAAGTGCTGAGGAAGCTAGGAGCAGAGCATCCACAGCATGGTAAATAGAGCTTTTTTTACATTGATGGCATCATGAGTAACTTCAAAATTTTCAGGAATGGAAGTTTCTTTGAAGGAAAGTAAGAGCTTAATTTTTAATTGTGTTGCTCGTGAGTAATGCCTGCCCCAGCTCTATTCCTATCTCGTGTGCATCTTAAGGCTCCTGGGCAAGACAGAACGTTAGGTGCAGGCACTTGTTCTGTCTCAACCCAAAGGGATGTCTTCGTTCTTGCTCTGCCTCTAGCTGACCAGCAAGTCAAGTCGCTGTCGTCGGTCCTATCCCAGTATCAGGGTTTCAGTGGAGAAGATGGTGGCAGGAAGAACTGCTTTGGCCGGAGTGGCGCCATGCTCTTCGTCCGGGTAAGCCCAACTGCTGTATCCACCTCTCCTGTCATTGGCATCAACTGCTCAAGGCACAGGTGACAAGGCAGGGGGAGTACACACCGCACAGGTCTTTGTGCACTAGTGTGGGCCCTGTGCAGGTGAAGAGGCCTCAAAGGGGGCAACCTACAGAGCACACCTGTGCCCGTCTCTGGCCAAGGCAGTCCTCTCATTTTAAAAACACTGCTAAAGCCACTGAGCAGTCTGATTGATTGACTGTGAACAGCCCCATGGGACTCTTGGTGACCAGGATTGTGCTTGGTGGCTGTGAGAGGAGAGGTTACCCTGCAGCCCCCTCCCTGACTGTGCACTGTAACTCATGAATACCATGCTGCTTTCAGGTTCCCGTGGGCACCTTGGTGAAGGAGGGCAATGAGGTCGTGGCCGACTTGTCCCAGCGGGGCCAGGAGTACATCGCTGCACTGGGCGGGGCAGGCGGGAAAGGCAACCGCTTCTTCCTGGCCAATGACAACCGAGCCCCTGTGACTTGCACCCCGGGAGAGCCGGGTCAGGAACGCGTTCTCCACCTGGAGCTCAAGACGGTGGCCCATGCTGGGATGGTGGGTCCCTGGTGGCAAGATGAGCTACTGGCTTAGGAGACAGTAACAGCTTCTAAGCTCATTGGTCCCATCTCAGCCAGCTGCCAACTGCAGCATGAAGGGCCTTCCCAGAGTCACGGGCTATCTTCCCTGTCTTCCAGGTCGGCTTTCCCAATGCTGGGAAGTCCTCGCTCCTCCGGGCCATTTCAAATGCAAAACCTGCTGTGGCTTCCTACCCGTTCACCACCTTGAAGCCCCATGTGGGGATTGTTCACTATGAAGGTCACCAACAGGTAGCAGGTAGAGCATCCAGAATCTGCCCCCAGGGGAGTTGAGGTGATCTGAGCAATTCAGGAAAATAACCAACTCCCAAGCTTAGCTTACTGTTTTTCCTAACTGAAACAATTTTAGTGAGTCTGTTCTGTCCTAAAATCAGCACCACCCCCTGGAATCCAAGTTTCAGGTCAGATCTGTGAGTATAAGTTTTCAACCTGAGGAGTTCTGCCACGGCTTCATTCTTCCATTGTGAACTCTGCCCTGATGTAGACGACGTGTGATTTAAAAAGCTTTCCCTGTACCATTTTGAGAGAAGAAAACTTTTTCCAGAAGATAATGTACCCATTAAAAATAGCCTGCTGGAAAGGTGGTTTGTATAGCACTTTATGTTTGCAAAGTGCTCCATAATGGTTTCCCTCAGTAATCAAATTATTAATAGAGTACAGGAAGCCGTTTTTTCCTTTTTGGATCATGTTTGAAGCCAGAAAGGACAGGAACGAGTTAAGCACTCCTCATCAGATCAGCATCATCTTGCATTCTGCAGATCTGAAGGCTGAGGCAACCCTAGGGCCTGGCTCCCCAGCCACCAGGTTGAAAGTCCAGCCTGTGGGGCCCACCATGACCCTATGTTCTTGTTTCCTACAGTGGCAGACATCCCTGGCATCATCCGAGGCGCCCACCAGGACAAGGGTCTGGGACTCAGCTTCCTCAGGCACATTGAGCGCTGCCGCTTCCTCTTGTTCATAGTGGACCTTTCCCTACCAGAGCCATGGACTCAGGTGGATGATTTAAAGTACGAACTGGAAAAGTACGAAGAAGGCCTGTCTGAGAGGCCCCATGTGGTTGTTGCAAACAAGATTGATCTCCCCCAGGCCAGAGCCCATCTGCCCCAGCTCCAGGACCACCTGGGACAGGTCATCGCCCTGTCAGCAGTGACTGGGGAGAACCTGGAACAGCTGCTGCTGCACCTGCAGGTGCTACACAGGGCCTACGTGGAGGCCGAGCTGAAGCGAGGCAGCCAGCCTCTCAGGTGGTAGCAGTGCACAGTGGCACCCGTGTCCCAGGGCAGGGTGCTGCACAGGCAGTGGACACAGGGGCCTCCAGGCCACCACACAAGCAAACCTGATTATAAAATGTGGGTGGTTTTGAACACATAAGAGAAAGTGCTTGTAAATATTGGAGAGTGTTGGTGCTTCTGTTTTCCCTGCCAACTTAGGGCTCCCCCACTCTCTGGCGTAGTGCTCCCTCAGGTGGTGGAGCATTCTCTGCCACCTGACATCACCTGCTCCCAAGTGCCTTACAGACTAATTTGCTAACTTGACTCATTTGTGCTAATTAACACCCCTAATTAGGAGGAGGACCATGCCACTGGCTGATGTTAGCAAACGCTGCTGCTGCTGCTGTGCACGCACGGGCTGCTGGGAGCTCAGCAGAAGAGCGCAGCCAGAGCCTGGGGCTCGAGCATGTTAGCACGTGTGGCAGAGGTAGCCTTTGGTGTCTACTGCCTGTGACCCACAACCTTGTGGTGCAGCAGGGCCTGGGCACAGCTCCTCAGTGGTGTTGCCTGCTATTCCCAAACACCAAGACGGACCTGGCTTCGCGACTGAGTGCACCCAATATCCGGCACAGGCACGCCCCGCCTCTGGCTCTGCTCAGTGTGCACAGCCGGTTGCTAACTGCAGGCAACAGGAGCCTGAATGGCCAGCATCACTCTCAGCAGGCGGCCAAAGCAGTGCTCTGCTTGCTGGGGTTTGAAGAGAACCCTTGCTTTGGGCCAGGCAGTCACCAAGACTCAGCAGGTCCTGTAGGGACATTGTTGGCCTTCTTCCTAAGGCTGAACTGCCGACAAGAGCTATGCTCTCTCTTCCAGGTGCTGTGCTCTAAGAAAGCAGTCTCTTTCCCATGGGGGGCTCGAGGTTGCCCCAGCACCTCACTGAGTACAAGTGGGGCAGGATGAGGGTGGCCTACCCTTCAGAATGGTGCCCCTAAGACCCCAGTGTCTCTCTGACATGTCCCTGATGACCATCAGAAATGGCGGGGACAACAGAAGACAGAGAAGGGGCCCTCAGCATTTGGGGAGATACCTATCACAGGGTGAGGTTTGCCATGGGATCTTAGGCCAGCCAGGAATGCTCTGTGCAGAGGTCCTTTCTGTGCATTGGGGTTGGGCTGCCTTGAATAATAGGCCTGTGCCTAGGCTTTCAGGAGCAATTCCGTTTTGATCTAACATCAAATCTGCAACTAGAACATGAGGTCCTTTACCCAAAGCTTTATTTTAATGTCTTGTAATTTCAAAGGTCCTCATGCTCTAGAAACCAGGGATGGGTCTTGCATCTGTTTGCTTTCTCTTTCAGGCCACCACAAAGGGTTTTGTAGTCAAGCCTGGCCTGAGAGCGTTAATTATCCATAGCTTTCATCTTTGTGCGGGGCCTCCCTTCCCTGACCCTGTCACAGCCCCCGCCCAGCCTCCCTGTGGTTCAGAGGCCTTGGTCTGGACTGGCTCCTCAAGAGTTGAGGACACAACTATCAGTCCTTGGCTGAGACCATTGCCACACCATCACTGATGTTGCCTGAGCTTTCCTGACAACAGGAAGCCCTGTGGCTTTCTAACACTATTCTCCTTTAGGAAGGAAAAGTTGGACTCAGTCTACCTGCCAAGTTCCTGTTTGCTTTTACAGACAATTTTCTTTTTGCCATTCTGGTTTTTAATTTTTTTTTTTCTTTAGTTTTCGGTGGACACAATACCTTTATTTTTATTTGGTGCTGAGGATTGAACCCAGTGCCTCATGCATACTAGGCAAGCATTCTATCACTGAGTCACAACCCCAGCCCCTAATTTTTTTTTAAACCTTCATTATTTATTTTTGTGGTGCTGAGGATGGAACCCAATGCCTCACACATACTAGGCAAGCACTGTGCCACTGAGCTCCAGCCCCTCAACTCACCCTCTTAAAGCCTGCCTTGTGGTGGTTAGTAGACACTCAGGGTTGTGTGCCTGTCACTGCATCCAGAGGTTTCCAGTCCCCAAAGAAACCCTGTCCTTATCAGATATCACCCCTTTTCCCTGGTTCCAGATACTAGTTCAGTGTCCCCGCGACCCACCTCTGACCTTGCCTTCTCCCCTCTTCCTGCAGCTGAAGGCCAGCCTCAGGTGCAGGCAGGTGCAGAGGCCATGTCCCCAGGGTGGACCGCTGTGACTGTCTGTGTTGCAGCAGATTGCACAGAGGCAGGGGCTGCAGGGGCTGCAGGGTTGGGAGATGGGGGACAGAGAGGTGCCGCTGCCAGGCAAGGGCAGTAGGAGGATCAACAGAGGTGGGGGTCCTAAATCCACACAGTGCTGTGAGTGGGGTTGGGAGGCGCGCAGAGGTAGGGTGCCTGCCTGGCCTGCCTGAGGCCCTGCTTCGCCCTCAGCACCCCACAAAGGACCCTGGAGTCTCATGGGCAATGGCTCCAGAGGGAAGAGGAGCAGTCCCAAGGCAGACAGTGATGGCAACTGCAGAGCTGCGTGAATGCGCTTGAGGCTGCTGAGGTGTACACTTACAGGAGGGTCGATGGCAGATTCATGTGACATATGCTTTATGCCACAAAGACGAAAATTGCCAGAACCTCACACATGAGCACACGTTCATGTGGGTGCAGGTAGGATGGGCAGCGTGTGGATACTGGGTGTCGTCTCCTGCTATGGCCCTGTGGTTCCGCTAGTGAACATCGGGCAGTGGGTGCTCAGGGTCTCTGCACCGTCATGCCCCTCACCCCCAGCATGTGAGTCTATGGCAAACTCAAAGGAAAGGCAGGACACCTTAGCCAGAGTGTCACTGTCCAGCAAGCCCCTGGCTGTCCCCAGCTGGCAGTCTGTCTGGAACACCGTTTGATGAGGGAATGGGTACCTGCAGTTGAGGGGACACATAGAGGAGTCCATTGAGGCCTGAACTTCCTTGGCATGAGGCCTCCCAGTGAATGTCCCTCCCTCTTCCTCTATGGGGACTCCTGGGGGCGTGGCCATCAGCCCCACAAGGGTAAAAGAATCCACACTTGGTGGATATGTTCACATTTGTGTCGCCAGCCCCACCCATGGTCAGCATGTGGCCCTTCTGAAACAAGTTAGGCCCTGACTCCCATCCCGGCATGCAGAATGGGTGACCTCTCACGCAGGCCAGTGGCCCCCAGCCCATACCCACTGAACCTGGGGGTGGAAGCCAGGGCTACCTGGGGCACTGTGGTGGCTAGTGGGGACAGGCTGTGTGGCAGACAGCGCTGCCTGGTCATTCTTTCTAGCCATCATTTTGTTGCTGAAGAGAGTTTTCTTAACAAAAGCCAGTGTCTTTCCCCAAATCCAGGAAATCACCCCATACTCTGCTGTGGCCCCTGGGGACAGGACTGGCCTTGGCCCAGAAAATTGCTCTGCTCAGCCACTGGGCTGAGTGGTGGGATATGGTGAGGGGCGAGCTCGGCTAGGACCTGGGGCAGGGTGTCAGCTCCACATGGACCTGTGTACTGAGGCTGGCCTAACTTGTCAAGCACACTCACTTCAGCTATCCTGGATGTGTGGGACCCTGTCCTGGGTCAGGGTCCTCTGGGGTCACTGGGCTACATGGCCAAGGGCAGAGCAAAGCCTCGTGGTTCTGGTGGCTAGTCCCCTCAGGGTTGGTCAGGACTGTGCCTCCAGGGGCAGAGGCAGAAGCTTGCCTGCTGGGAACAATCTGGGAGGCTCAGGACAGAGCAAGAGGTCTCCTGCCAGGAGGGCCAGAGCTCTTCATGGATCCCCTCACAGCCCTGCCTCCATTCTGCCACCTGGCCCCAGCCCTGCCAAGTCAATCTGCCATCCAGCTGTTTTGCCAGGAAGGCACTCTCCTGTGTACCTCTGCCTGGCATGACCCTCAGGCCCCCTTGGGCCCTGGAATAGACTGGCAGCTGGACAGACTGAAGGAAGCCCTGAGGTAATGGGTGTTGGGAAACTTAGCCAATAGTGCTCTAAGTAACTTCTTGTGCCCGGACCACCCCAGGTAGGCCCCAGCCAGTGCCTTCCAACCAGCTGCCCCTGTGTACGCTGGCATGGCCCCAGCAGTGGTTGCTTTCTCCCTGAGATGGGTCCTATGCCCTGTGTCCACCTAGCTGTGTGGCCCACAGGGACCATTGAGGAAAGGCTGGAGCTTATTGGTCAAAGGGGCGTACTGAAGGGCCCAGTCCTGGCCCCAGGCAGCATCTGGGTGGCCCTACAGGTTTCCATGGCCCAACAGCCCTCAGAGCCACTGGTCCATTGGGGGCTCAGGCCCAGTGGTTCCTGCCACCCAGATGGACACCCCCTGCCATCCCTGGAGAAGGAGAAGCCTGGTGCAGGGTCTAGCATAAAGCATGCAGTGGTGGTGGGGGGCGGGGATTGTGGACTCCATCCTTTCCCTGGGTGCGTCTTTCTGAAATACCTGCATTAGAATTTGACTCACTGGGTTTAACATCAGCCCAGAATGTGAAGCTCCACCTCTCCCTGGGTACTCAGTTCATCATTCTAGCATAAAAAATGGCTTGGAGGGAATGGGACAAGGGACATGTTTTCTGGCTTAGAGCTGATAATGGACCAGGTGAGACCCAGAGCTGATAAAGGAAGCTGTGTGTCCTGAAGGACTAAGCCCACCAGGGAGGCATCACTGAGGAAGTGGCCCACTGGCCACCCACTGTCCTGGCTTGTCAGAGTCTGTGGGTCTGCCATGATGGACCCTCAGATCATGATGGCCAGGAGCCCAGGAGGGAGGGCTGCAGGCAGAATTCCCACTGCAGAGCTGCCCCACTCTGACCCCAGCTTGGAACTGGGTCTGCTGGGGTCTTTAAAGAGACCCAGCATGGACAGCAGAGACCTGTGGAGGCTGTCAAGTGTGTGCTGTCTGAGCATGGCTGAACAGTGGCTCAGAGGGGCAGACCACCCCGTCGTCTCATGGTCAGAAGCTGGTTCTTCCCCACCTCCCCCTCTCTTGCTCCTTTGAAGGGCATTTGCATGCCTCTCGGGGTCTGTGTCTGGCATTCCAGCAAGAAACCTCGCAGGAGGGAAGGGACCGGGTGCTCTCAGGGCACCTGCTTACTGGTTCGGACACCCTTGTGGCAGCCTGTTGACAGGTAGGATGTCACCTCTCAGCTTCTATAGCCCGCTGTGTTGAAAAATGTTTTCCTGCCAGTTGCACACAGTTAAATTTGAGCCACTGGATACTTAACTCCACATTTTTATTCATCAAAGACACCGATGCATCATGGTCAGGATGCCACCTGGGCTATGTTATGCTCAGCAGGATCTTTCTCATCATGATGGCTTTAGGAAGGAAAGCGTGTGGATGACTTGTGAAACCTGAAGCACTAGGCCTCACTTCAGGCAAAGCTGCATCCAGGTGCTCAGACGATGGCCTCAGGAGGCTCTCCTTCCACCTCTCAGCTTGGCTTGTCTCCGCACTGGCTACCCCGCTCAGGTGACCTCAGCCTTGGAGGCTGCCAGGCCAGCAATGGCATTTGGAGAAGGCCCATCCTTCCAAGGCTCCAGCCACAGTACCAGCATTGCTTCTGGCTTCCCAGGCTGTGGCTGTGGGCCACCTTGAGGCCATCCTGGTGATTCTGGCTGGCCATGCCTGGGACCCCTACTCATCCTAAGCCCAGGGTTGGGTGGCCCTGCTGGAGTGAGGAAGGCATGGTTCCCCAAAGAAAAGTGCTTCTCCCAGGAAGGTGCCCAGCGTCCTGTTCCTGGAAGAGGACAAGAAGGTTGCCCAGGGAGCTAAGGGTTCCAGAAGGAAAGCAGCCCTAGATTAGCCTCTCTTATTAGCTCTGTGATATGAGCAGGTCGCTAACCCTTTCTGTGCCTCAGTTTCCTCATCTATAAACTTGACATGCTCAAGGGCTAGATGAGTTGAAGGAAAGGGCTCAGAACAGTGCCCGGGACGCAATGTTACAGCACAGCTCTGCCCTTGATGTTATTATAGTGAACACTCAAGCCAGGCCCCTTCCCAGGTGGGCCCCAGTGAGGGAGTCCCCAGCCTCAACTCTGCCCCTTCCTTGCTCTCTGTCCTCTAAAAGAAACTTAGGAACCTCTGGAGCTTGGCCCTGACCCTTGACCCTGACTTCTCCTCTAAGATCCCCAATCTTTGGATGCTCCCACCTCAGCACTGGCCACTGGATAAGCCATAAGGCCTGGACATTCGGAGCAAGAAGACGTCCCCCTGCCCTCACCGGGTCTCAGGGAGGGAAGGGCTATCTGGTCCCTGGGGACTGAAGAACCTGACCAAACTTCCGGTCCAGCCAACTTCAGATGCCATGTCCACTCGCACATTGGGGAAGTTGACCCCTCCAGGTCCAGGGCAGCAGGGGCTATCTTCAGCCCCCAGCCCTCTGTAGTCCACCTGCTGGCAGGTGGGACCCAGGCACCTACAACAAGTTAGCACAGCACTGTTCCGTGTCCCTGGAGGCAGTTTCATTAATGAGCTGCTGCCTGCGCCCAGGACAAGGGGTCTGCTGAGCCACTCCAGACAAGAGAGTCGTGCCAGGCACCTGGCTGCCGTCTTGGGCATGGCTGAGCCCTTCCAAGGAGGAAGAAGCTGAGGAAGGAAGGAAGGAAAAAACTTTGAAAGAAGCAGCAGCAGCAGCATCTGTTCCAGCAACCCCTGCCCCTACCTGGCCTTGGAACCCTGTGGGGATGAGGTGTGAAAGGGCTGGTGTTCCCTTCGGCCTGCACTTCACTTCTGACCTCTAGGCAGATCTGGGGCTGGGCTGGCATGAGGCCTCAGTTTCCCTTCAAAGCACACACCTCTTGCAACCTGGGCAACTATATGTTGGGATCTGAAGCTCTGTAGCCACTCTACTGCCCCTCTTTTGTCCTCCCACATAGTCCTGGCCCAAGAGGGGCTGACGGAGGTCAGCTGCTTTCCCACTCTTTCCTGTGCACAACGCAGACATACAGTGACACCCAGGGTTTCATGTTAGGAGCAACAGAGCTAGGGCTCAGTTCTGAGGGTTAGAGTTCTCCCTGGGTGCCCCATCCTGTCCCCGCCTGGGGACACCACTGCTTTCATGCAGGGAATAGAGGCCTAGATCCTGTCTCTCAGGAGGATGTGGCCCTACGGGGATTATTTCATACTCCACTCTCGTGCAGTGCCCTGCACACAGCAGGTTCTTAGGAAGAATGTGGGGAAATGGAAAACGTGTGGGCTTTAGTGTCAGGCTTGGCTCCAGATGCCACCTCCCTGCCGACGTGGGCCAAGTCCCCTGTGCCCGTTGGCTTTCTCCTAGGCAGAGTGGAGAACACATTGCCCCCTGGGCTGCAGAGATGCACCAATAATTATTGGTGGAAGGTTCCTCACATGAGTGCTGGGGTGCACTGGGGTGCAGAGAGGTGATAACCAGTAACTCTTTGGCATCTCAGGGCTCTGGAAGCCTTGCCAGGGAGACCCAGTCATCCCTCCTGGCCCTGCAGTACCTTGGCCTTTTGCATAAGGAGGACAGTGGACTGCCTGGTGAGCACCTTGAGAGCCCAGGGTCTTCAGGCCAGGCAGAGAAGGACCCCCACACAGCATGTGCCCGGAACCTGTCCCCAGGGGGCACCTTCAGAGCCAGTGCAGGGCAGGAACCGTGGCAACACCTACCTGGCTGGTCCCTGATGTCCCTAAGCTTTCTTTTGGGGGGCATACCCAGCCAGGCTGTGATCCTGCCTCCTGCTCTAGGTGGCTCCTAGTGGCTCCTGGTGGGCAACCAAACCGACCTCATGTGCCCATGGTAGCTATCTGTCTTGTGGCACACCTTGCCCCTTAAGTCATCTGTCACCTCCCCACAGCTCAGGGAATACATCTGTGTTGCTCCCACTCTATGCCTGGTACACAGTAGGTGCTCAGTAAACAACAGCTGTGCTGCTGGGCTCTGGGCCCAGGGCTTTGTTTCCTCCGGGGCTCAGATTGCAGAAGAAGGCCCCGGGCGTGTTTGTTTCTGCAGAGGGCCCAATAGGCTCGGTGCCTTTCTTCTCTCCTCCTCCGTCCCTGCACAGGAGCTCCAGGAGCGGCAGTTTCCAGAGATTGAAGGCAAAATTGCCTGAAAGCCTGTGCTTTTATCCTCCAATTTGTAGCCATTTAGCAGGGCCGGGCGGAGGGGCGGCCAGGCTCTGGCTGTGCTGTCGCAAGGAAGCACCCACAGCAGCAGAGCACAGTCCTTTGTCCTTTCTCAGACAGCTTTAGGCCTCTGGACAGACACCCGCTGGGGGGCAGGCCAGGTGGTGCAGGGGTTTGGAGGCCAATGGCTAGCCTGCTGGGGAGGTGCAGGGCCTCCAGGAGGAGGGGCGGGCTGCCTGATGCTGAAGGTGGCCTCGGTGCTCAGTGCTCTTGGCTCTCAGAACAGCACCCAGCCAGGAGGCGTGGGGCAGGAGGTGCAGGCCTAGACAAGCACAGTGAATGAAGGCCAGCACCCCGGGGTCACCCTCCCTCTGGTCATTAAGAGGAGCCTGTAATGCTTTTGCCCAAGAGGAGGGTCCTGCCTGAATCAGAGATTGGCAGGATTAAAATTCTGAAGCAGGAAAAGGGTGTTGGAGAGGGCAGGTCCCAGGCTTAGAAAGGGGCGTGGCAGGAGGTTTCTAGAGAGTTTGGAAAACAAAGTGTGGGTGTAGAAGGTGGGTAGGGGGTGTCTGGGGAGGGAGCTGCTGGAGGCTGGGTCCCTTCTGCAGTGCTGAGACTGAGCTGCTGTGGAGCCCGGCACTTCGTGGAGTGCACTCACACATCTGGACTGCATGGTGCCTGGTCCAGAGGCAGCTTCTGTGAGATGCTGGGTTCACTCCTGCCCAGGGAAGGAGAGGTGAACCTTGCAGCGCAAGGCAGCAGGACAGGTGAGAGCCAGGGCCCCAGCTCTCCTGCTCTCCAAGTGGCTCTGGGTTCCTAGGGGAGGGCAGCCCTTTAGGCCATTTGCCCCCCAAGGAGGAGACCACCCTTGCTCCACCCACGCACCTCACTACACCCCCCTCCAGGCCTTTGCCCAGGACAGTGCCTCCACCAAAGAAGCTTCTTATCCCCTCCCCTGGCTCATCCCCTCAGGGCAGCCCCAGCAACTCAGCTCTAGCCCCCATGTCCCCATGTCCCCAGGAGCCTTTCATGGCCACTGTGCCCATCCCTTTACCCCAACCCAGCACAAGGGCATGCCCAGGGCCCTCCCCGACCCTAACTCAGTGCACAGGCATGGCCCTGTGTCCTGGGTCTCGCTGCCCTGCTCCCTAAGGGAAGGTCATGGCTGTGAGGACACCCAGCTGCAAAGAAGGCCAAGCACCCCTGTCCTGGGGGCGGGCTGCTCTGTCAGGGTGGGGGCACAGGTCTGCATCCTCGAGACTGGTGTGACTCCCTCCCAGCCACCCTCCCACACACATGCATGGCTGGGCCTCTTCTTCCACAGGGGCATTAAACTGGAAGTGGCAGACCTATTTCCTCCTACCAAGTCCTTCATCCAGAATGCCAAGGTCTGTGTCTATGTCCTTTGTGGGGTGGGGGGGTCTTCCTGGAGCCTCTGATTGGAGTTCACGGACTCTGACCACTCCACAAAGTCCTCAGGAATCAGCACCAATAAAAAAATACGCTTTATTGTGACTTCACGGTGGCAGGGGCAGTGCAGCGGGCACACAGAGAGTGAGCGGAGCATGCAGAGCACCTAAAGCAGGTGCGCAGGATGTGGCAAGGCGGCCCCTCCCTGGGCATCCTAGCCCAGGTCTTCTCTGACTACTCCTGCCAGCCTTGGGACCCCCTACCCAACAGTCCCCAAGACATTCTGGTTGAGTAGATGGGGTGGCGGGGCAGGCTCTGGCCCACCCAGCAGGCACTAGGACTCTGACCACTCTCAGAGCCAGCGGTCCCACCAGCTCCGAGCCCAGGGGCGGGGCGGGCAGAAGCAGCTGGCGCAGCTCAGCCGGAAGCCGCAGCAGAGGGAGGAGGGCGTGGGAGCCCACACCTGCCAATCCAGCCCTGAGCTCCTCGGCAATTTTGTCTCTCTTGATTAAACATCCAAGGAACATCAAGTTCACAGACGTGTTTTCTTCATCTTCCTGAAAACACCCAGAAAGGAAAAGTAGAGAACGGCTTCGAGGTTCCCGGGGCACCTGACACGTGGTGGGCAGGGAGCGGGGAGGAAAGGCTAAAGGGGCCAGGCTCTGGGCTTGAGTGAGACAGACAGTGGCCAAGGCAGACCCAGCGTGCCTGGGAGGAGTGCAGGTGTGCAGGTGTGTGCAGGTGTGCGCACGTGCAGGGGCACACTGCTGGCAGGGGGCTGGAGCACACACCCAGTAACTACCAAGTATGCAAATGGTGGACACCACAGGCACTGCACTGTCGGTGGGGTTGAACAGCAAGTCTGGAACCTTCCTGGAGTGAAGCAAAAGGAGGTGGCAGTTCAGCCCTTGAGGGCCCCTGACCAGCCCACCAGCTTTCCCCCAGGGCAGACGGTCTAAAAGAGGCTGCCATGGTGTTTAGGGTGGGCCGCAGGCCATGGCTCATCCTTGGGAGTGAGCCAGGCAGGTATGTGTGGCCCAGCTGCCCAGGAGACAGGGTCTTCGAGGGGAGCGGCTGGGGGCCCGGGTGGGCTGGCTCACTTCCAGCACTGCTCCAGGGAGCCATGAGGCTGCACCTTGAGCTTCTGGGGGCAGAGCAGCTTGGTGAAGGCTCGGCGGAAGCTGTAGTGGCACAGCGGGTACAGCACAGGGTTCACAGCCGAGTTGGCCCACAGGAGCCAGAAGGAAGTCTCGTACCAGTAGTCGGGGATGCAGTGGCCATGGCAGGCAGCTCGGATGATCATCAGAAGTGTGTATGGGGCCCAGCAGAGCCCGAAGATGCTCACTATGATGGCCAAGGATTTGGCTACCTTCTTGTCCCGTGACAGCCGGAAACGCTGGGTGATGCTCTGGGACACCATCTTCATGCGCTTCTCCAGAGATGCTGAGGACGCAGAGGGCTTAGAGCCCCTCTTGAGTGAGCGTGGTCTCTCATTGCCCCTCGAGGAGCTGCCAGAGCTGGAGGTGGGGGAGGCTGCAGCACCACCACTGCCTCCTCCAAGGGTGGCCTCCCCAGCCTCTCCACCAGGGCCAGCCTCGCCCACCCCATACCTGTGCAGGGGCACAGCCTCCCCATGCCCCTTGGGCCAGCAGCCCCAGCAGCCAGGCGGTGGGGGAGGTGGCGAGGATTGAGCCTCAGGTGGGGGCTCGGGGCCTGCTTCGCGGGCACCATCCAGCCGGAGGCGGGTGCGCCTCTGGATGTTCAGGTAGATGCTGAGGTTGAAGAAAGTGACGCTGAGGAAGGGCGTGAAGAACTCGAGCGTGGAGGCCGTGATGAGGAAGTACCAGTTGTAGAAGAACTCAGCATAGCAGTGGCCCTCAGGGATGGAGCTGCCACCAGATAGGTACTCCCAGCTCAAGATGGCCGGCCCATACAGCAGAAAGGCCAGCACCCACACCAGTGCCATCTTCCGCACTGCCCGCCGGGTGTCGCCCTGCTGGGCCCGGTATGAGACCTGCAGAGGGGCACGTGGTCGGGAGGGACTAAACCCAGGCCAGCTTTGGCCTCTGCACATTCTCTTGCTAGCAGCAATGTTCCCCTTCTCCTCCCTTCCCTCCACCCCTACGCCCACCAACACCCCTGGCTGGCTGATGCCCTGTCTCAGTGTCTCCTGCAGTCCACAGAGTCCTGCTCCTTTACTGTCCCCCTGCATCAGCCGTGTACCCTCCTGGTGTCCTGTCATTGGCCCAGTGTTTCAGTGTATCCCCAGCAGCAGACTTAGCATAGGCCAGCACCTGGGGCCACCCTGTTTCTGATGTGAAACATCTTGAGGAGGCCCGAGCCATTTTCAGAGGCTTACTGTGCCAAAGGGGGTGGTTCCAGCCCGGCCCCTGCTCAGGTGCTTACCCCTGGGAGCTGGAGATACAGGAATGAAGCCACATGCTGGCCCACTGCTGGAAGACATCAAACCTCCCTGATCCCCATTCCAGGAATCCCTGGAAGGAGGAGTAGAGAGGGCGGAGCTATCAAGTCCTCCCCCAAGACTCCTAGTGCAGAAAGCAGCTAGCCAGCAGGGGGAAGGGTGACAGGAGGGCCAAGGGTCCTGCTGAAGGGCCCTAAGGCACAGCCCAGGGGGAAGTGACCTGACAGCCCCCTCCCCCTCCCCCGCAACAGCATGGTGGCTTTTATCCTGGTGGGAACAGGAGGGTGAGCAGAGCTCATGCGACACCCTGGTCTGCGGCACACGGGGCGACTACCATGCAGGCTCTGGACGTCACTCCACTTAACTCCTGCTGCCCCACTTCCTTGGTGACTGGAGAGAAGGACCACAAGTGGTGGTCAAGAGGACCCAGGCTGGCACTCTTTGCATTTGTCCCTCAGCTTTTTAGACTTGAAAGAAGTGTGGTCCTCCAGCAAGGGGTACCTGCTAAGGCCTGGGGGCGGTGAGCCATCAAGAAGACGAGGAGATAAAAGAGACTGCCAGGGCCCCACCCTGCCTTGGCGCCTGTGTGGCCCCACTGACACCAGGGCTCTTGTGCGTATGGAGCCGCAGCCTGACTTCCTGGGGCCACGTGAGTGCACACTCACGTGTGCCCACATGTGAGAGGGAACAGATCTCCCTCACCTCCAGACACTCTGGACCTGCCCTGGGGCAGAGGCTGGGCAGTGACACCTCTTTCTGCAGGAATATATGATTCCAGATCAGACTCCCTGCTTCCTGCCTGTGCCAGGACCAGTCCTACTGGCAGCAAATGGCGACGGAATGGGCACCTGGCCAAAGAGTGCCCACAAGTCCAGTGGGGGCCTGCCCACCAGGCACCGCGCACCCACCTCCACGTGCCCACCTGCTCAGGACTCCCTGAGGCCATCACTTGCTGCCCCCCCATGTCACAGGACTCACAGCTCTGGTGACTGACAGGAAGCGGTCATAGCTGATGAGCACGATGTTGAAGACTGAGGAGGTGCACAGCAGGTAATCTACCACCAGCCACAGCTTGCAAAGGCCTCGGCCGAAGCTCCAGCGGCCAGTCAGCACATAGGGCACATACAGCGGGATGCAGAAGGCACCTGTGGGAGAATGGAGTGTGGTGGACAGGGCCTTGGGTCAGACCCACCAGAGTGACACAGGGCCCTGGTGGGAGGGGGGAGACGATGACAGGGCAGCCGCTTGTCTGGGAACAGCTATTCTTATGTTGCCATCCCCCCACTGGGCACCATCTCAGTGTGGCGCTAGCTTTCAGTCCCCACAGAGCCCCTAGCCCCACTGTTGTCCCCTGGATTTGTGGGCAGGAGGGAGGATCCAGGCATGGCACCTCTGAACCCAGAGTCGGGCTTCTGCTTGGCTCTCTCAGCCTCCAAAAAGAAGGAAGAGCATTTCTTCCCCACCCTCCACCAGGCTGGACCCCAGCCCTGGCCTGGCCTTGGCTGTTAGTCAGCCTCCCTCCTCAGCTTAAAAGCCCAGAAATCCTTTCTCCTAGCTTAAAGAGCGCTTGGCTGCGTCCCCGCCAGTCGCTGCCACCGCCAAACCCGGCTCCCAGCGTCTGGGAGACGCATCTCAGCCCCAACAGGTGTCTGGCGCTCCGGCCCCCTCCGCGCGCCCCGCCCCCCAGCCGGCAGCAGAGCATGGACACGTGAGAGCGCTCCTGCAAGCATCTTCTCCACCCAACCCCCGCCTTTCCCACGGCCCCCTTCCCCAACACAGCTCTAAAAATCCCCCTTCCATGTCCCCTCCCCCAGCCTCCCTCCAGCGCCCTCCGCGCGTCCTGAGTCCGCCGCAGCCTTTGTTTGGCAACGGCGCAGGAGACAGCGCTGCACCCACGGCTGCTGCGCCTGGCGCCTTGCAGAGCGCCCTCCGGCTCGGGGGTCCTTTCCCTGGTGATGTCCCTCCCCAACTGCGTCCCACGGCCCAGGAGGCCAGGAACTTCGTCCCTCCCACCACCCCACAGATTCTGGACGCCCCTTCCCCAGACCAGGCTCCCGGGAGGAGCGTGCGCCTGCGGGAGCCACCCCAGGTCTGCTCCCCTAGCCCCGCTGGCCCAGCAGAGCTAGGCGCTTCTGGACTCCTGCAACCGGCGGGGTCTGGGGGCTTTACCCACGAGGAAGTCGGAGATGGCGAGGTTGAGCAGAAAGAAGTTGTTCTGGGTGCGGAGGCTTGAGTCGGCCACGAAGGCAAGCATAACCAGAGCGTTGCCCAGCACCGTGGCCACAATAAGCAGCGCCATGAGCGCGGCGAGCACCGCGGTCCAGGCGGCAGAGAAGCCGCGCGCCCCGCCCGCCGCTGCCGCCTCGCCCGCCAGCGCCCCCGACGCGTTCAGCAGCCCGTCGGGCGGCGAGCGCTCCATGACCCCGCAGGCTCACGAGGCGCGGGGACGCGGGGTAGTGCACCGGCTGAGAGTAGGGCGGCAGGGTGGGGCCCCGGCCCGGGGTCTTCGTCTTTGCGGGCTCTCTGCCCAGGTGGATTCCCCGGGGAGTGCCCGGGGCATGTTCTGCGGGGCCGGGGCCCAGGCCGGGGCGAGCAGCGCCGAAGTGGCTGGGGCCGAAATCGGAGCCAAGCAGAGCGGGCGGCGAGGGAGGCAGCTGCAGCGGGAGCGGAGCTGGAACCCCAGCAGCCGCCGGAGCGTCGGTGCACCCCGAGCGCAGCGCGCAGCAGAGTGCGCCCGGCGCCCAGCCCGCCGCCCCCCGCGCCCCGCGCAGAGCCCCCGCCATTGGCTGGCGCCCTCGCCCCGCCCCCGCCCCGCCCCCGCCCCGCCCGGCGCGGGCAGCACCACGGACAGCGCCGCGTGCCCGCCCGGTCTGCTGTAGCCCCAGCCTGGGTGCGCACGGTGGCTGGCAGGCAGCCCGGCCCGGGGGCGCTGGGGGCCAGCATGCGGTCACATTTGCGGGTCGATATCTGGGCTCCTAGGCCCTCCAGATGCTCTCGACACTGGTGACCCTTGCCCAGATCTTCTTGGGAGCCGGGGCTCCTGCGGGGACCTGAGGTGGGGGTGGAGAAAGGCCTACGCCCCTCTCTGAGGAACTTGCCCCTCAGGGCCCCTCCTCCTCGTTTCATGTTTTGGGCAAGTGGGTTTCTGGGGGATGAAACTCCGGAGGAGAAGGGGTGGGTGGGGTAGGGGGTCTTCCAGACCAGTGTGCTGACCAGGACTTTGTTCCACCACCCCCTATATGCACCGGACCCTGGTGTCAGTCTCCCTGTGACAGGGCTCAGAGCAGCGTCCAGGGTGACCTGCAAGGCGCGCACAGATGTGGAGTTACATAAGGGAAAGGGAAGATGAGCCCGAGTGGCCCCAGCCGGGAGAGAAGCATGCCCACCCAGAGCCCAGGAGTTCCCTCAGGAGAGGGAGGGGGCAGCGGCAAGCAACTCGGAGCTGGACCACTGATGCCCCGGCAGACATCACGGTGGGCCGGTTACTGCTGCAGCGGACAGGCGAGGTCACTGCGCTCCGAGCGCAGCCAGGGCAGCGGAGGCTGCCTGCGTTAGCGCCCGCGGGAGGGGTGGAGGAGGAGAGCCAGCGAGAGAGGCAGCGCCCCCTCCCTCCACACACGTGCTCAGATCCTCAGGGTCAAGGGCAGTCAGCGGGAGAGGCTTACTGCAGACAGATAGACACGCCCACGCTCAGACACACAGACACCCACAGTCAGGGAAACAGTCACCCAGCATCAGGCAGGGACCCGCCAACAGTCAGACATCAGACAGCAGACAGGGAACAGTGCCCGAGGGAGAGGGAAGCATAGACTGTGCTCTGCCACCAGCAGCTCACATCAGTGGATACCTCAAAGAGGACAGAAATGCAGTGGTGGGGTGTGGTGGGGGTGGGGGAGACTGCTGGGGGCAGGGGCTGCAGAAGGACCCCAGGCGCTGCATCTGAGCACGCCAATGCTCACAGTAGCTTCTTGGCCATGTGGAGATCTGCCCTCTCTTCCAGCCCCAAGTGGTGATTCTGAATCTTTGGGGAGTGGGGGCAGGGATTCTCTCTGCTCCCCCTTGGCTGGTTGCAGAGGGGACCCCCCAGGTCCATGGCCCCAGCACGCCCACTGCTTCGTGGCTCCCAGGAGCCTGCTTGGGGTGGGATTCCAGCTCACCCCTTCCTGGATGTCTCACAGACAGACCTGCTCCTCTTGCAGGCTCCCAGTGTTCCCTTGCCCCACCCCCACTGGCTTGTGGGCAGGAGGTGTGCCTGGACCAGGTGCTACCTTTCAGTCAAGGTGGAGAACTCCCTGGAGCTGGACCCCATCAGACCCACTGTTGAAGCCTTCTGTGGGTGGGGTGCTGGCAGGCTCCCTGTCTCACCCCAGCCACGCTCCCCCAGGTCCAGCTCCTCCCACCACTCGGGAAGGAGGCTGACTTTGGCCGAGGTGCCATGTGGGGCCCCTGAGACCACAGGAGATGGAGGTGGGTGGGGTTTAGGAGGGGTCCCTTACAGGCTGGAGCCTCAGTGTCCCTTGTCAAGATGGGGAATATAAATGGCTGACTGCCCAGTATTGAGGGGCAGAGTCAACAGGAGTCTGTAAATTCCTTGTAAAGCCTTGCTCCAGCTGTATCTGTCCCGGGGATTGCCATTATTGTGGAGGCTCAAAGGAGGCTAGCCAAGCCTGTGACGAGTGGAGGCTGGGACCCAAAGCAGAACAAGAACAGGGCACTGAAGTCCTACCTGCCATCCCCCCTCCTCTACCTTTTGTCCACAACTTCCCTGCCTTCTGTCCATCCCAAGAGCCAACTGGGCCAGACCCCTGGGGCAGAGGGCACTTCCCTAGTGGCCTCTATGTCAGCAGCTGGGCAAGGACAATTCGGCTCTACCGCCCCATGGTAGTTCTGGGGAATGCCCTTTCCACACTGAGGGTAGACAGGGTGCCCACATCCTGCAGGTCATGTTCACAGGAAGTCTGAGAAGGAGGCTGAGCTCAGGGACCAAGGCCCTCTCCAAAGGGTCCACTGCTAGGGTGGACTTGTCTCAGATGCTGGTGCTGAGGACCCAGCTGTGTGACCTCGGGGTGAGTTACCAAATTTCTGTGAGCTGGACATCTTCCTCTAAATGGAGTTCAACAGGAGCAGGGAAGGCTGAGTCTGGCTAGGGGTTTGGTAATGGTAGTGGCTGGCAGTGCTGAGCGCCCCTGTCAGCCAGGCTCTTTGTCAGCACCCATGTGCACGACCTTATGAGGCCCAGAAGCCCTAATGGTGCGCAGGGCCCTTTGCCCCTATGCCAGGCCTGCAGGCCGCCTGCCTGGGAGCACACAGACCTGGAGCCCACTCTCTCGGCAGACTCGGAAGACGAGCCCGAGTGGCCCCAGCCGGGAGAGAAACATGCCCAACAGACACACTCCAACAGACATCCTCCTGGCCCAGCCATGCGGTGGAGCCCCGAGGCCAACAAATGCACCAGAGGCTGCAGCCAGTAGCGCAGCTCCCATCTGCATCCTGCTCTGAAGGACTCTCCCAGGGAGAGGCCGGCCCAGCCTTGCACTTGGTGAAGAGAAAAAATGGCCCCCTGCAACTGGGAATTTAGGGTCAGTGGCCAGTGTCCTGGCAGGAGGGTCAGAGGCCTGGGAGGAAAAGTCCTGGGTACAGAGACTGAGAGCTCTGGGTCAGAGCTGTGGGGCTGGAATGTGGCTGTGGGCACAAGCATATGATTCTGTGTCATGTGCAAACACCCATCAGAATGCACCAAGGGGTGCCATCAGCCAGTCCAGAAAACACGATGGCCTGGCTGTAGTGCCACCCCAAAGGCTTTAGGGGGCCAGGAGTCCAGACTCCCACCTGCTGAGTCCCACTACTTCTGTTGCCCCTGAGTGTCTGACCATCAGTCTGACCATCACCCTGAGCTTCCAAAGGGCACCTCCTCCAGGAGAACACCCAACACAGCCTGTCTACATGGGCTGCGCTGGCCTGATTCTCACAAGGCTAGTGCTGGCTCCAGGTGTGGGTCTGCCCTGTGCCATGGCACCTGCCCCACGATGCTGAGGCATATAGAGCTCTGGTCCAGAGGCCAGAGATTCCACACAGAACAGCACCCAGCCAGGGGCCCACTTCCTAGTGAGAGAAGGGCAGGAGCCAGGTGCTGGGTGCACACTCTTAATCCCAGCAGCTCGGGAGTCTGAGGCAGGAGGATCGTGAGTTCAAAGCCAGCCTCAGCATCAGCGAGGCGCTGAGCAACTCAGTGAGGCTCTGTCTGTAAATGAAGTACAAAATAGGGCTGGGGATGTGGCTCAGTGGTCACGTGCCTCCCCCCAAAGAAAAGAGGGGCATGAATGTGCTATGCCACTGGCCCCAGCACCTTGAGCAGTTGGCCTCAGAGGATGCAGGGAGAGCCCCCCACAGACAACACCTGTGAGGGTGGGCACTGCCTGAGAGCACACGGACCAGGAATCCCAGAGCTTTCTTTTCCTGTCTGGTCCTGGGGACTGAGCTGGGGGCTCTGTCACTGAGCTACTTTTCATGTTTGATCTTGAGGCAAGGTCCTCCTCAGTTGCCCGGCTGTCCTGGAACTTTGATCTTCCTGCCTCTGCCCCTCATTGCTGGGATGACACGTGTGGCCACCCGGCGGCAATCAGAGACCTTTCTCTGACAAGAGCTTGGGCGTAAGTGCCTGGATCCAGTAGCCATGGCAGGAGAGCCCCCGCAGCGTCCCTCTCATGACCTACTGGGGAATTTGTTCTGAAGCTATGGCCTCTGCAGGGTTAGAGGTCCTTGTCCCCCGAGGGACCATACACTCAGGGGTGGGGGTGGGGAGACATGAGTCCACCTTGCAAGCAGGTGAGTTCTTTGGGCCCAGGGACCAGCAGACAAGAAGATGGGGGGTAAGTGGCCATGACCAGCACGAGGAGAAGGGCTGCTGCCTCCCAGTGGGCATGGCAGGGTAAGAGTGGGATCCAGGGGCCCACTTGGGCTCCAAGGTACTCTCCTGCCTGGCCGTTTCTGTGAATGGACGGTAGAGCCTGCAGAGGCACAGGGCCAGGGCTGAGACCCTCAGCTAGGAGCATCACCCCACCTGCAGGGTGGCAGCAGGGAGGGGGCAGGGGAGGCCTGGGGTCACTGCCCTGCTCCCTGCTCCGTCCCTTCACAGGCATCCTCAGCCAGCTCTGCGCTTCCAGGCCCATCTTGCACCTGCCTCTGGGAGACCCACATTGACCTGGGTCCGGTTCTGATAGTTAAGGAGTCAGGGAGCCTCTACTGAGAAAGAGACCCCTGGGCAGAGAGCTGGACAAGGAGGGAGAGAGGGGCAGCAGGTGGGAGGGACACAGGTGGGAGGGTGTCTGGCTGTTCTACACACAGGGAGGCCAGCGGGAGAGGAGCAGAGAGCGGGGGGCGAGGGCCAGCTCATGCCATGGTGAGGCTGTCCCCGGGGTG